CAACTGGACCTTCTGTAGACAAACCAACCCCCCGCCGCGGCATTATAATGTCCGTCTTTTCACTGAATTGTCGTCTTGAAAGGGGTACTCGCAACAATTCGGCAACAACTTCATCTTCACCTGTTGCACTTGTCATTTCAACGTTAAAAACAATAAAACGGCATGAATTGCTTCGTCGCATTCGTTCTAGGTCCTCTGCCTCGAGCCAGTTAACTAGCGGGCCTTCTAGAATACCCTGGAACCGAGGGGAACCGAGGGGAACTCTGAAAGAATACGCCCATTGGCTACAAATCAATATATGATTGGTTGATCAAACTGTCAGTCCAAACGTACGCTCTCATTCAGTGCAACGGCCAGGGCATTCGATCAAGGATGTAGAATACCTTGTTGAAGGATGTTCTACCCAGAGACCCAGAACAAGATCTGATTGGTTGCTTTCTTTTCTAACACAAAACCACTGAAATGCGTAGTGCATGGTCCGAGAAGGACAAACAAATCAACGTAACACTGTAATATTACAGATCAACAACACGGATACGATTCTCATTTATTCATTTTATTTATATAATGAAATCGATTGTTTGTTTGTTTTATCTGAGTGTTCCAGGGTATTCTCTGAATACCTTGAAGGCCCTGACGGTTCGCCACTGCTAGAATAGATTTACATTGTGCAATTTTCCAAACTCACATTGGTTTCTCATAGAGCATCTCTGTATAGTATGTGTATTCACTCTCTGTCCTAAACGGCTTGTTGGAGCTCCTGCCCCCCCCCCTCCCTATGAGCCCACTGTGCTCAATCAATCAATCAATCAATCAATCAATCAATCAATCAATCAATCAATGTTTATTTATATAGCCCAATATCACAAATGTTACATTTGTCTCAGTGGTCTTCACAGTGTGTACAGAATATCAGTATGACAATACGACACCCTCTGTCCTTAGACCCTCTGTCCTTAGACCCTCACATCGTACAAGGAAACACTTCCGGAGAAAACCCACAGTTTAAAGGGAACATGGGAGAAACCTCAGGGAGAGCAACAGAGGAGGGATCCCTCTCCCAGGACAGACAGACGTGCAATAGATGCCGTGTGTAAATTGAAAAGATAATACATTTGCAACATAGTGCTCTGATTGGTCAGCTCGCCCAATCTGTTCTGATGAGTCCACCACCGTTACAGCGGAACATCAGTGATTATGTGTTGCAATGGCGTTAGCAACCAGAAAATGACACCAGTAAGGACAAACAGATGAGAATGCTGCGTGGGGTCTGGGTGCCGTGTTGGCGGGACGTTGTGGGGCTCGCTGCTGCGAGGAGCGGACAGTGTGAGCTGGATTACTGGTGTGGTTTCTAGTGATGTTACGTATTGCGCCGAGGCTTCGGAGCGTGTGTCGAGTAATCCCCGAAGCTTTTTGTGAAGCATGTATCGAGGCTTGTATCGTTTTGGGCCAGTGATGTCATCGATGACAAACGAAGCCTCGCTGCCTGTCGATACCACGTGACTGCTTCAGGAAGCGATTCAGATCGGTTGAACCGTTGAACCACAACGCTCATAATACCCATGGATGTATAATAATAACCATATTACCCCCCCTGTACCCGGCGGGCCCGGTGACATCAAGAGAGCTCAGACCCTCACTTATAGAGGTCAGAACATGTCATAATAAATAGATACAAGCATAAATAAATGTAGGAATAAAAACATGATAAATAAATGAATAAATACAGGAAATAAATATCTTCCAGTGTTTTCAGGGAGCTTTAGTGTGTGTGCTGTGGCTCAGCTTGAAAGCAGTTGACTCATGACCGCAGGGTCCCTGGCTCAACGACTGAACAATACGTATTTTTTGTTGTTTATAAAAGCTACAGCTAAATGAGATAATGTAGTTAATACATGTATTCTTTGATATGGTTTAGCCTTTCTCAGGCTACAACATGGTTAAGTTTATGAATATTATTAAGGAATACAAATCCCTCTTTGCAATGTTTACCAGCCTCCTTAGGCTTTTCAATCACAATCATTCAACTGGAATAAAAACAATATTGTTAACATAAAAATATGATTTTATGTTCGTTGTTTAGAGTTATTCTAAGGCTTTACTCAATGGGAACTCGGTATGAGATAGAGCACACTGTTGAGATGTCCAATCTGCCTGTTTTACACACTTTGACCAGCAGGGGGTTTGTGTTCAGATCATATATACAGTCTATGGTTCAGATGAAGCCCATGATGAAGCCTCATGAGATGAACCCTTTTGCGAACCAATTGGCTGGAAAGCTTCATAAGGCTTCATCTCACCATCACTAGTGGTTTCCTGGTTGCTGCGTGAGGTCTGCGAGATAGCGAGACTCAGCTAAACCAGCCCGAGCACACACACACACCCGCAGCCTGGCTGTGAGTCTGTGTGTGCCCGCCGTCTCAGGCTGAGAGATCCCCGGAGCTGCAGCTGAGAAAAGATTGAGTGTGTGTGTGTGACCAATCCGCGGACGTAACGTAACGGCTCCGGATTGGTCCATTTGGACCAATGGGTCCATTTGGGTCGTCGTTACGTCACTGTACCCAGGAAGCAAACAATTGAAAAAGAGAAATCTCCAACGAGGCGTTCTGGGGCAGCACAGACAGGTCTTTTCTGTGTTAGAGTTGTACTCGCTACAGGGTGTACTTTGAGGGTTTGTGACTCTGCAGACCGTTTACATGCAGAAAAACCTTCATAACACAAGGGGACGGTTGATAACCGGCAAAGCATGACATGGACCCTTTAAAAACACTGTGCATCATTTATTTGTCAATGTCTCTAAATAGCACTTAAAGTGAGCATGTAGAGTTTTATTTTATATAAAAAAATCTCTGGTAACATTCAGTTTTTGTCACACTGATGAGTTTCTGTATAGATTTCCCTCCAGACACATTTGCAACGCCACATTGTCTGATTATATATTTCGAACCGTGTTTATTTTATGTCCATGTTCATGCTGCGGTTAATTCTGACACTGAATTATTATTTTTTTAATTCCATTTGTGTTTGCAGGGAGAGAGGCTGAGTCGCTTTGGCTTTTGCACAGAAACCACAGGAAGTGTCACCTTTAATCTGCACTGCCTCCAGCAAGCCAGGTAATACACCTCCATTGTGAATGTATTTACAAATCACAGCATTTGTCTATAAAAAAAATACTTTCTGTGAAATATTTTAATAAACATGATTTATAACACTTTTAAATATTTTTATTTTCAGTACAGTAGTTGCAGAGTGTGATTTAATGTCTCCATGATGTCTTTGTTTCAGAGCCTTTGTGGATGCCACAGTGATGAAGAAGAGGAGGCAGAAAGTCTTGGAACAGCTGGGAGGATTTAGTCAGCAGGGAGCCGTTTGCACCATTCTGGGTAAAGACCTTTATACTGAATTATTTAGATTCTGAGATTAAAGGTGGGGTAGATAATTCACTTCAGATACACTTTTTGTTATATTCCATGGAATGCTCTTAACATCCCGATAGCAATGAATAAGTTAAATGCTTTGACAATAAATATACACAAAAAATTCATCTGTGGAAGCCGTGGCGCTGTAAAAAGCACGACCAATCCTCTGAGCCGGCCCGGCTAAAGTAACTGGATGGCCTACCTGCCTGTCAGCCTTCCATCTGTGCACAAACTTATCTCGTGCCCTCATTGGTCATGTTCGTGTGTGTTGGAGGAGGGGCTCTGTGAGGAAGTCTGAAGGAAGGGGCAGATTTTTTCCGGTTGTGTACTTTCAAATTCGAGCTTACTCGAGCTGGTTTCTCCATTCGTACCTACCCCACCTTTAAGAGGTTGTGTCTTATATATTTGTAACTGTGTAGCCTATCCATTCATTACATATTGTTTATTTGTTTTTTGTTTTTTTACAGAGGCCTTCCAGAGGGCCAGGAAAAAAATGCAAGATGCCAGAGAAGGTCTTCCCAGAGACCTCGTCAACACCACCTCCCATTCGCATGTCGAATCCTGATATTGATTTAACAAAATAGACCATAATTCCGGTCAAATGGCTTACACCTGCTATGTAGAATAATAGCAACATTACCAGCAAGTATGATTTGCCATTTTAAATTGTACACACTGTGTTTCGAAAGGGCTCTGATGCACTGTAACGAGTCCTATTGTTATTTATTCTTTGTAAAGACAGCTGACATGTTGTTGGGGGTAATAACTGAGGTAACTATGGATTTATATGATGAACAAAGAGTAAGCCAATATGCCTACTGAGTATGGTATCCCCAAGCATTGTATTTTCATCATGTGTCTCAGATTCAAGTTAATACCCTTATTTTCGGAGTTATACACAATATGGCTTATTTAAAGTGGTGTAGCAGAAAATAAAACATGTTTTTAGATGTGGATTATATATTTTTACTATGTATTGTACATAGGGTTCTTTTTTTGAAACGTTAGAATGATGTTTACCGTGTAATAAACTTTTGTATATGAACTATAACTAACTGGATTTCTATAATCCCTTGTGATTTTAGCAACGTTTATGCGTATTTGTATATGCATGTCAAGGCCGTTTATGATATCTACATACACAAACATAAATATCGTCAACACACAATCAGTAGTACTTTAAATAAATCAAATACAAAAGTGAATATTACTGGTTGTGTGTCATCATCCACTTTGATAGAAGAGACTCAAGGTCCATTTTTAAAAGACATACATACAACATTAAATATACATTTAAAAAAGGCAGTTATACCAATGTTACCACAGAGGTGACTGGTATCGTACAGTACTGAGACAAGGATTTGACAGCAGCATGACAACATTTTGAGAAACATCTAATAGACAGATACATTTGTACATCAGATTTCTCAAGAGAACGTGTTGACTCGTGCATTACAAAACATTTCACCTGCACTGCACCACCTTGGTTTTCTAAGTAGTATACGCAAACAATCATTATAAGCCTATTCATTCTATTGTTGACTGATTTCAATAATTTATAATCAACTCAAGCGGGAAGTTGTCCAGATTCCGGTGACAGTGAACGCACCATCACACTCCCGATTCTCCATCTTCCTCCAACCGGGCAAGGGACCAACCTGCGTCTTGCACCCACCGTAACATTCCCCTCTTACAAACACTCAACAAGGTATTTCGATTATTTTAAAACGTCATAATGTACTAACTCTAATCTTTATTTATGTGGGATTTGGTGGCGATCAGTTAGCTGGGCAGCTCATCACAAACGCTAACGTTAATGTAGCTCAATGGGAGCTGGGCCGCTGATCACTCTCCTGTTTTGATGTCAGATTAAATGCTTTATTAATTACCTTACAAGTCTAGTTTGATAATGCTGTTTACACCATTGATTGTGTTTGTAAAGCTAGTGTGTCTTTATTCGTTAGCTAGCATCGGTAGTCGGGAGGTAGCGTCAGTGCTAATCATTAAACTGGTGCATTTGACGTTAGCATGCAGCAAGCTAACGTTAGCAAGTGAAACTGCTGTGGTTCCTGTTAATGTTGCAATCTTGACTTTTCAGAGAGGTCAAACGTTATAACAGCAAATACATTATCGCAGATATCACGAATTATTTCGGTTGAGCTTTAATTGTACAAGGTGATCGATGGTATTAACACATACTAGCTACAGTTTGTTATTTTTTATAGACATGGAATGTGTTAATGATTTACGTTAACGTTAGTTTAATAATCTCAATCTCAATCTTTATTTATTTATATAGCACATTTAAAACAACCTTCAGTTGACCAAAGTGCTGTACAGGCAGTAACTACAATATTAAATAACACAATGGGAGAATTAAAAAGATAATAAAAAGCACAATAACTAGAAACATATACAAAATAAATAAATAAAAAACACATACAAATATAAAAATGTAATGTTCAACTAGTATTAAAAGCCAGTGCAAAGAGGTGAGTTTTTAGCTGAGATTTAAAAAGTGCAATAGACTCAGCAGTCCGGATATGTGCAGGGAGGCTGTTCCACAGTCTGGGAGCTGCAACACTGATACTAACGTTCAAGTTAGCTACCGTTAGTAATGTAATTGCACTATTGTGTAACTCAAGCTAGTTAGCACCTGTGATAAAGCTACAACATTAACCCAAATGGTCATGTAAACCTGATCTACGTATTCTGCGTTGTATTTGTTTACGAGAAGGAATACTGCATGTTTAAATGATATGGCCAAGTAGTATTACCACAGTCAAGGTTCTGTTTAATGTATAAGTCCGTTATTCAATAGCGTACTAAAGGTACAAGTACCCAAGTATTATCAACTAGATAATTACAAGTATTACATTACCCATTTTAGGATAATATAAGTCACTTGACTGTTGTTATTGTGGCTTTATTATGTATGTATCACTATGTTGCCGCTGCTATCATTATCTATTAGTTCATTAGTATTTTCAATGATCAGAATCGACTAAGTAATTTATGTGTTTGAATACATATTCAATAGCGCAACGTTTTCCTCTAAATTGAAAGTGGAGTAGAAGTGGCATTGGATTGCTCAAGTAAAGGAGAGTTAACAGAATGAACTCTGCAGGTCAATCAGGTTCTTTCACATCAAGCTGGGAAAACCATTTATTTATGGAGCTTGGTTTGTGAACTGGGAACTGTCATGTTGAAACAGGAAACGTTAAAGGCACACTGTTTCCTACAATATCATTGTACAGTTTGTTTCAACAAAGTCTCTTTTCTTTTTACCCGTAACGTCCGTAATGTCTATCAAATGTTATAATTGGCTCTGTGCATCCAGGCAGGTGGGGATTCAGGGCATCTCCACAACACAAATGGGTTTGTCAGACTGTCACATAGTAGATCCGGATTCATCTCTGCAGATATAACGTTTCCACAGCTCCACAGTCAAGTGGTCGTGTGCTTAACAACAGTCATGTGTGATCTGCTGCCTCTGCTCTGCCAATAAACTGAGCTGGTATTGCTTCATGGGGCAGTTTGTAACGTCGTGTGAATGAATGTTGCAAACAGGGATCTGGAAGGATTCGCTATGCACTTGGCAGAAAGAGCTGTTGTCACTGCACAACATTTCTACTTTACAATAACACCACATATGAAAGGTAATCTAGCTGCAACTGGCAGAGGAAACATCTAATTTATGAGAGAGATATCCTGTGACACTGCCATGGCGAAGTCACTGAGCTCTGCAGTGCAACCCATTCTACTGCAGATGTTTGTCAGTGGAGATAATATGGCTCTGTTTTATGTAATGCACCTGGATGAAGCAGCAGAAACCACACATTGTGAGCACATACTTTTAACCCCGTTGTGTATTTCTCTGAAGTGTCAATGGGAAGTTAAACCATCATGGTGTGTTTCAATAGGAGCATGATACCCTGAGAACTTTAGAATAATAATAATAATAAAAGGCACTTAAGCTGTCCACTTTTAGACAAAGTATTTACATCTATTTGCATCTATTCTCACTAACATTTGGTCTACCTACCTATGTTGTAAATGTATTATCTCTTCGATTTACACACGGCATCTATTGCACGTCTGTCCGTCCTGGGAGAGGGATCCCTCCTCTGTTGCTCTCCCTGAGGTTTCTCCCATGCTCCCTTTAAACTGTGGGTTTTCTCCGGAAGTTTTTCCTTGTACGATGTGAGGGTCTAAGGACAGAGGGTCTAAGGACAGAGGGTCGAAGGACAGAGGGTGTCGTAGTGTCATACTGATATTCTGTACACACTGTGAAGTCCACTGAGACAAATGTAACATGTGTGATATTGGGCTGTATAAATAAACATTGATCGATTGATTGAACTTTAGGTGATACAAATGTCAATTTAAAAGCAATCTCAACCAAATCAGATAACATTGGAGGCAGCACAGATAAGCTAAGGACAGAATTGTGTGGAACTCCCGTGTGGTTTGATCATCACTACTTCACAAAGTCACACACCTGATAAGGCAGGAAGTGAAAAGGTAATCATTATTTCACCGATCTTGTGAAAAGGGAAATTGGAGATGGTTAACGAGAATAACTTTCGCAGATTTTACTGATGGCATAATGCACTGAATTTCTCGTTACAGATTTTAAAGGACCACAATCATGACGGACTCCAAATATTTCACAACAAACAAAAAAGGTAAGAAATCTGGCTATTTCACAGAGTCTGACGATATATTCACACCATAGTGCGGCTGCTTACATTCAGTGTGCTTTATCTTACAGGGGAGATCTTTGAACTGAAGGCAGAGCTGAACAATGAGAAGAAGGAGAAGAGAAAAGAGGCAGTAAAGAAGGTCATCGCTGCCATGACTGTTGGGAAGGATGTCAGGTATCTATTAACATTGAAACTCTTGCAGAATCGTCTTTGATGTCTATTATAATCTGTGATATCTCACGCAAATCTGAACGACACAAGCCACCTTTGCTCAAGCGTGTTCATCACATACTTGTGGCATTATTTCATCTTAAAGATAAGGAGAAAGTGGAATCATTGTGGTAACCAACAGTCCATAAATCTAGAGATCAGTCTCTGGAACTACATTTCCTGAGGTAGTGATTCCAGGTCCAATAACTTTATTCATTTAATCGTTTATTTGGGACAATGCAAGTAATGAACGCTTAAAACATTCAAAGCGTAACAGTGCCAGATTTAGCTTTGAGTTCATTTCCATCCGCAGTCCCTCACATAAAACATTTAAGAAAATTGCATTTTACAAACATAGCAAAAACAAAATACATGATATGCAAAAGAGCAAGAGCATACACAAGTATTTATGACATGGTGATACAATATAGCAGCTACGACATATAAAGTGCACGAGGAGATACCCCTGTGTTAAAGTGCATTTAGCGGTGATTGTACGTTGTTTCTCAACCATTCTTTGAGTTGACCTTTAAAACTATTGAGAGTGGGACAATCCCGTGTCTCAGTTGGGAGGCTGTTCCACAACGAGCTGCCTTTAATGGAGGACATTTTGTCCAAAAGTGGTCCGTCTGCGGTGGACTTCACAGTCTCCTCTGGTGTCTGACCTAGTGCAGCGTCCAGTGTGTTTTCTGTGGATGAGTTCCCCTAAGGGAGGGGGGGGGGGGGGCAGTCCATGTAAACATTTATAAATAAAACACGTACTTTTAAAAGACTTAAAATGGTCAAAGCTCAAGAAATTGTGTTTTTCAAGGATGGTACAGTGGTGGTATGAATAAGGCTTTCTGTCAAACACCTTGATAGCTCTCTTGAACAGCTGTTCTATGGGTTTCAGGTTTCTGACACAAGCAAACGACCAGTTTGAGGGTTTACAGACAACGCAAGGGGCAAGGAAATTAATACATAGGGTGGAAATGCAAGGAAGAACTTTGTGCCTGTGCACTTAAATATTAATAGAGAAAAGTTAATCGAAAACAGAGGGTGGTGGAGGTGGAGGTAAGGAATGTGGAGAATGTGGAGACTTACAGTATCTACCACTCTGCCCAGTTTCACACCTTTGCACATCTGGTGAAAACAAATCTGAAAACGGTTTGGCAAAGTTTCACAAATCAAGAAGGGTTGAGCTTTCACACTGTACAAACACTTCTGAGAGAGTACATATTGACCCTTAGGAGGACCTGTTTATCACCTTGCTCACAATGTAAACACAAGATGAACTAAACAGCCTCAAAGCCTCTTGCTGTGAAATCTGACGGAGGCATCTTTCCCTGCTGTCAGTTCTTTGTTCCCAGATGTGGTGAACTGCATGCAGACCGACAACCTGGAGCTGAAGAAGCTGGTGTACCTCTACCTGATGAACTATGCCAAGAGCCAGCCGGACATGGCCATCATGGCCGTCAACAGCTTCGTCAAGGCAGGGCCAACTTACCTTGTGTTTTTTGTGTGTATGTGTATAATAGTGCCAGTGTATCTGAAACTATGAATTCATCTACACTCAGCTAAAATAAATCCCTGTCAACAATCTGAAAATTCTGGAATGAGTTGGATTTTCAAATGTAGCTGCTGTAGTTTCTCACAGTTTTCGTTAACAGGGTTCCCACAAACCAGTGTCATCAGAGCTTCACAGATACATCAATTAATCCATGAAAATAGATAACATTACCTTTTTGTTTCTGTTATTAGATTAGAAAATAAATTAAATCTGTTTCTTCCCCTTTGAGCCCAGACAACTAAGCTGCAGTGGAAACTATTGGTAGTTATTATCAAACATAAATCACCTAGAATCTTGTGTTTAAAACAAAAAGATGATTTTTATACAATATTTGTATTGAAGTTTTCAAATATAACGAACATTATACATACATAACACGGTCAGTCTAGGTGGCAGATACAGTGTACAATCAAATGAATAGGCATGTAAATAAACACAGGTCAGTATACAGATGATACGGGGATTTACAAAGTACAGAAATCTGAAAGAATATGATGACTTTAAGTTCTAAGAATAGTTATGAGAAAAGTATGGAATTAAATATTTGTTTCTCAGTGAAATCTAATCTTATTAAAACCCCACCTGCCTCTCTGGTCTCGCCCTCAGGACTGTGAGGACCCCAACCCTCTGATCCGCGCTCTGGCCGTCCGCACCATGGGCTGCATCCGTGTGGACAAGATCACCGAGTATCTGTGTGAGCCGCTCAGGAAGTGCCTGAAGGACGAGGACCCGTACGTGAGGAAGACGGCGGCCGTCTGCGTGGCCAAACTGCATGACATCAACGCCCAGATGGTGGAGGACCAGGGCTTCCTGGACTCCCTGAGGGACCTCATCGCAGACTCAAATCCCATGGTAGGTTTTTATACCTGAGCCTTAATTGATTAGGACTAGACTTTATTTTAAGACTATCATGGAACTTGAGCTTGATTCAAATGGCAGCATGTCATATATGTTATATATATTAACCTTATTCCTCTAGATTGAGTAGTAGACGCTCTACTACGCAATTTAGAGGCATAAAGTTGAACTCATGTGTTTGAATTGCAGTGGTTTGCCTTCATCAGGGCTCGAGCTTAAGGGCGTCCCGTCATCCCGGGGCCGAAAAAAATAGGGGGATAAAAAAAAATGTTGGGACGAATTTGGGACGAGAGTTAAAATAAAAATACCCTGCTAACTCTACTACGAACGGCGATGAAACTGACTGCATATTTTGTGTAGCACACAGTTATTAAACCTCCTTGTCAACATAAACACACACACACAAAACATTTAGCAACCCGCGAAATACACACACACACACACACACACACACACACACACACACACACACACACACACACTACGTATACCGACAGCCAGCGGCACAGCTGCCCGCAAATTCCTGGCCCTTGAATAATGAGAACTCTCCATCGCATTCAGTCCTTGGCAATATGCTGCGCCTCTCCCCATGTAGGGATGGGTACCGAGCCCCGGTATCAAACGGGCCGGAATTATTAAAGAACGTGGTACCATTAAGCTCCGACGTTATGGTACTGGAAACGTTTAAAAAATATACGTCTTATGTATTATTGCTACATAAACATTATATCGCAGTTTTAGTTTCGCCAACTCCATTTCTAATATGCAATAAGACCAATCCAGACGAGGGATCTCTCTCCCGTCTGTGTGCGAGGGGGCGGGGCAGTTTGTAAAGGTCTCCTGACTGTGTTACAGACTGTCATCCTGGTTAGTGGTTGTTCTGTCTTCTGTCTTCTGTCTTCAGGACAGAGTGTTGGATTTGTTTGTTGGTTGGATTCAATATTAGAGTAACTTTCTCGTTTTTTAAAAATATATTTGGCCTTTGTTTCTGTGATTGACTGATTTACTCAAATAAAAAGTTGAATGAATTATCATCTAGATTTGGATCATGTTTCATTTATGTTAAAGGTCACTTTGAATGATTTTAACTAAGGGTAATGTAGAAAAACTAATATTTTAAATTCGGGACGGTCCACATTAATTTCGGGACGGCTTAGATTGCATTTCGGGACGGTTCTGGGAGGATGGGGAAAAAAGTTAGTCGAGAGCCCTGGCCTTCATCCTCTGTTGCTTTCTGCAAGAGAGGCAGGGTTTTGCCTCGGAAATGAGTTTGAAGAGGCGGTTAAAATCTAGGTTTACAGTAAAATATACTATATATACGTATATCACAAGCTGGATACATGTTGTACACAATACAGTCTGCATCATAGCACCGAAGCAATTGCACTATTTTAAAAGTGTGATGCAAATTTACAATGATCAAAAATAATTGTGTTCGAGGAAATGTTTTGTCTACTGTTTTAGTTCTCTAGAGTTTCATTATACATATAGATTCTTCCATTTATTAAGCACTTTTCTACTTTCTAAGAACTCAAAGACACTTTCTAAAACATTTCATTCAACAATTGGACACTCATACATGCAGGACTGAAAAAAGCACAAGATATAATGGAATTAATTTAGATACAAAACAAATAAATGATAGAACAGTAATTTAATTTCAGTAAGAACTGGCGGAGTTATGACTCGGAGGGAAGGAGTTCAACAGGAAATAGCAAGCTTGAAGAGTTGTGCTTCAGGTGGTGTTTACACGAGAACGCAAACGGTTGTATTCGCAACTTTTCTCTTCCGTATAGCCCGTTCGTTCACAAGAGGCCGTAACGGAAACGTGGAAACGGACCCCGCAAACGATAACGGGTCCCAAGGTGGATAGATCTGCAACCGGAACGCTCTGGGCGCCAAACGGCTCAGTGTGTACGTTCTATACGATCATTTCCTGATAACGATGAAGCCATAGCCCCGCCTCTGCTGCTCACTGCTGTAGCATGGTCACTAGCTACTGCTACTGACCATGCTACAGATGTTAGTACAACATCTACAGCTCCTCTACCACAACCATCAGCAACAAGTGGACATGGAGAACTACATGAACTACATGTTGCTAAATCCACCGCGGGACATGAACAGAAGGGCAGCCATGCTCGGGGGTCTTTTTAGTGTATTTTGTGGCGGAAGTACAGCGCCACTTACAGGCCCGGCATATGTACTACAGCGTCTCCAGCGCTTTCGAGCGGTCTCGTGTGAAGGGAAGACTTTTTTGATATCGTATTCGGTGCGTTTGCGTGTAAACGGGGTCTTAAAGTGCAGTTTTTGATGACATTAAAATCACATCTCCTTCTTGCAGGTGGTGGCCAATGCAGTGGCTGCCCTGTCTGAGATCAGCGAGTCTCACCCCAACAGCAACCTGCTGGACCTGAACCCTCAGAACATCAACAAGCTGCTGACCGCGCTCAACGAGTGCACCGAGTGGGGACAGATCTTCATCCTCGACTGCCTGTCCAACTACAACCCCAAGGACGAGCGCGAGGCCCAAAGGTAACGACACCTCAAACCAGAGTATGGGATGGTTGACCGTCCTGTACCTGCCTCAGGACTGCAGGTGGAAATGAGCTATTAGCTGTAATCTGGCATAATTCATATCTTCTCTTTTGTATGCATGGTCCTTGTTGAAATAAATATATAATCATTTAAAACATATAGTCTTATACTCTGATTGCCTTTTACACTGTTAAATTGTATTTGTAGTCTTATATGTGGTTAACAGAGTCATATGTTATGTTCAGGAGGGCAAAGGGAAGTGTAAGAGGGGGATTTGTAAATGGTTACGGATTAGGGGTTTTATTGTTTAATGATGGGATGTAGGACCAGTGGGCTGTTTCCTTTCATGAATATATGCTGTAAGCTGTGTTCGGGGTGCAGAACTCATTTTTTCCTCTGAGGATGAAGTGGCTCTGTTCCTACATAACTTTGTCCATGAATCATTTATCAGTTTCTCTTAAGAATTTCCTCCACACGTCCTGTTGTTTTTTGTTCCTCACTGACTCTCACCTTTCCCTCCTTCCCCTTTTGAAGCATCTGTGAGCGTGTCACCCCCCGGCTGTCTCATGCCAACTCAGCCGTGGTGCTGTCGGCTGTGAAGGTGCTGATGAAGTTCTTGGAGCTGCTGCCCAAAGACTCGGATTACTACAACACGCTGCTGAAGAAGCTGTCCCCCCCGCTGGTCACCCTGCTGTCCGGAGAGCCGGAGGTCCAGTACGTGGCTCTGAGGAACATCAACCTCATCGTCCAGAAAAGGTGCGTGTTCACAAATTATAGAAGCTGTATTTTCTGGGAGTCCCAGCAGCTTCTACTGAAGCCAGTCCCCAACTCCGGGGACTTCCGGCCGGGGACTCCGGGTGGCAGTATACGCCGTGAAGTGGTTTGCGGCCTGCCAGTAAACCCAAAGCAGAAGAAGAAGAAGTGACGTCAGCGGCTTCATTTGCCTAATCCTCCCTCACGGACTTATTCCGGTGTGAACGCGATCTGCTCTTTAGTTCATCAGAACTAAAGTGTTCTGATGAACTAAGTACGGCAAAGTACTCTTTGATTTTCAAATGCGCATTAAGAATGTCCTTAAAAGTCCTATATCTGAATTTAACTAGAAAAGGGCTTCTTTAATACTTTTATGCATGCTTTTTAGGTAACATTAAGCTGTCTGTGGCTCTTCTGCTGTGACAATGTACATTTCCCCTCTGTGGGACTAATAAAGGTATTCTGATTCTGATTCTGACTTGAGGGTGACCCAAATAAAAAAACTCCGGCCAATAACATAATTATATGTTTTTCAGAACATCAGGCCTTTCTCTCCGACTTGTATCTTTAGGATCAGGTCTTCCCACAGTCTAATATGTCATGTGTTGCTCTGTGTGTAGGCCTGAGATCCTGAAGCAGGAGATCAAGGTTTTCTTTGTGAAGTACAACGACCCCATCTATGTGAAGCTGGAGAAACTGGACATCATGATCCGCCTGGCCTCCCAGGCCAACATTGCCCAGGTACCTTAAATAAAACTAAACGGGAACTTTGTTAGAAAGATCATTTGCCACACCGTTTTGATTGAACAGTTTTCATTTACAGCATCGCCTTTTGTGTAAATACCCATACGTATACTACATTGAAGTGAACTAGTATAATAATTGATGCCATTTTTAAGGTGACGCTTGAATGTGTAATTTTTTTAAAGACATTCAACTGGAACAAAATCCATTCAACTAAATCAAAACTGAAAACGGTTGTCCTACTTTCAGGTGCTGGCCGAGCTGAAGGAATATGCCACAGAGGTCGATGTCGACTTTGTGCGCAAGGCGGTCCGAGCCATCGGACGCTGTGCCATCAAAGTGGAGGTGAGAAACGCTTTCATCGATTCTGGTCTCTACGCCGAAGTCTTCTCGTGTTCATTTCAGCAAAATAATCTTTATCCATATCAGACTTGTGACCTGGGCATTTTGAAAGTAGCATCGTCAAAGCCACTCAGCAGAGACCAAACATTATAATTCAGCGAATAATTCTCCAAGTGAAGGTTTTCCTGTCTAGTCCTGATGTTTTGATTGATAAAAAGTCAAGTCATATTATGAAATCTTAGGTGTGCCAAGTCTCCTCTTTCCTGATTGACCGTTATAAATTGACATTACCTGGTCAGCTGATGTTTCCTCTTGTTTAAGCCTCTGTTTTGTTTCACTCCAGCAATCAGCAGAGCGCTGTGTCAGCACTCTGCTGGACCTGATCCAGACCAAAGTCAACTACGTGGTCCAGGAGGCCATCGTGGTCATCAGGGACATCTTCCGCAAGTACCCCAACAAGTAGGTTTCCCTTGTTTCCTGGAGAACCAGTAGGGCTGTACCCAATACCTGAAAAGCTTAATTCTTCATGTTGATTTTCAAATGTTAAAGAATATTCAAATGATTATCTCTTTTTTCCCACGCACCTGTATTAACGGCAGGTTTTCATAAAAGCGATTCATAAAATATATTTTTGTAACCCAATAACAATAAATCTCTTTAAGGTCTAACACTATTTAAGTTAATAAATGAAGTTGCAAAAAAATATCATATTATATATCTGCATCTGCATTTTCCTTCAGTGCTCCATCTGGATTCATCACTTTAGTTACAATAAAGCTATATTCATAAAAAATTGTGATTTATCCATCTTTTTACGGCACTTTTCAAAAAGATGCTGACCCCCCCTATTGTATATTTTCATCCTGACGCCTGACACACTGCTGTTGTTCAGGTATGAGAGCATCATTGCCACGCTGTGTGAGAACCTCGACTCTCTGGATGAGCCCGACGCTCGCGCTGCGATGATCTGGATCGTAGGCGAGTACGCCGAGAGGATCGACAACGCTGACGAGCTGCTGGAGAGCTTCCTGGAGGGCTTCCACGACGAGAGCACCCAGGTGGGTCCAGACATCTTCATAGCCATCAGTTCTGCTCTCCTGAAGGCTCATTTTGTTAGGACGGTTGTTTTACACGGATAATAAAACATATATCTGAGAGTAATCTAGCCCGGTTGACTTTGGAAAGGACTGTATGTGCACTATATTACATTCACTGTGCAGGTTAATACCTCGTTATACAGGAAAACTGCACAAAACAACAGAAGGTATGGTGAATCAAAGATGAACAGCTTTTTTCATATCAAATAATAACATAAAATACATACATATTACTAAAACATGAGAAGTTAAAGGACAGGGTGTCTGCGGGGTCTTAAAAAGTATTAAAAGTTGATAAATCAATTTAGCGAAATTGAAGGCTATTAAACGGCATTTTCCAAGGTATTACATTTTGTAGCTTGTTTTCAATAAGTATATAAAGTGTCCAAAGAGGTTGTATTCTACAGTGTGCCTGAATGTAATCATGGCGTAGGTGTGTAGTGTGATTCTGTGTAGTTTATTGATGGCATCCCGTTGGGTTTGACGTCATCTGAACAGGACATCGCACTCTCACTGCTTGATAGCGCGCGAAGGTCCGTTTACGCCGGTTGCTAAGCATCATCGTTATGGGGAAATGCAAGTCTGCGTCCAAATGGTTGGAAGATAAGGAGGAAGGACAATCAATACTGTATATGTAGAGGAAACTTCTGTGTAGCTATGCAGTGGGAGTCACCGACTCAGGAAGGAGACACGGGAAGAGCAGTAGCTTTGATGTCAAACACATGATGGTTTATTTGGAGTTAACGGCCGGAGGATTCACATCACAAGTCCAAGAGTCAGAGGTTCTGACTTCACGGTAGAGTTGCCACGTCAATTCTGGAGAGCCTCTCTCTTGCCAGCCCATCTAACTGGTTTCGCAGAGAGTAAACAACATATTTGAGGAGATAGCCTAAACAGTGTGGGAACACAGAGCTACTTGCCTCGGACACTTATGACCTCGAAGATTTTACCTTGGAGTCCACAAATACAGAGAAGGAAGTGTCCCAGTGTACCCACAACACAGACCATCTGTATCCCAGTATTGACCGGTCACAGAATGGGAACAATAACATTATTGGCTAAGCCGCCTGTGTCCTTAAAGAAGGTAAACAGACATCGAGGTTTGTCCTGTATGTTACTAATTGGCGTCTTATGATAATTATTTCCACAACAGTATATAGTCAATGTGAGGTAAAGTGTGTCGCCAAGGTAACCGGTTAGAACTCCAAGTGGCGATGAGGTCTTAAAATGTATGGGAAGGGTCTTAAAAAAGGTCTTAAAAGTTATTACATCTGACTTCAGGATTCCTGCATACACCCTGAAGGAAAAATGTGCAATAAGAGTCCTTGTAGCCACTGGGACACAGCTTCTTAAATAATGCACTTTTCAAAAGCCAGAATTAAAACTAAACCACATGTTTTTAACTTGTGGAGCACACAATGGAGCATTTATTTTTCCTGAATTTATTGTAGATGTTTCCGTTATGTCTGTCAGCTGAGTGCTGCAGGTCAACACATTTGGATGTTTCACTTTTACACACTTTATAGTAACCCTTGGACGTCCCGCACCTTATCCTGGTTGACTCATTTTATATTTTACTTGGCGATGTATGTGCACTGAAAATATAATGACAGTGTGTGCTTTGATTTCCAGGTCCAGCTCACTCTGCTGACTGCCATCGTGAAGCTGTTCCTGAAGAAGCCGTCAGAGACTCAGGAGCTGGTGCAGCAGGTCCTCAGCCTGGCCACTCAGGTGAGACACGACCTCTTTTCAACAGAGAAGTGTTGTTTTTCATAAAATGATTCAAAATGTTAAATTACACTGATGGAATAAAAGTAGAAACAACAAAAAATACTAATGGGCAAAAATACAGTGAAATAGAAAATATCTGTTTTTTTCCTACCTTTTTAATACGTTTCTGGTTATTTTGTGGAGATATTTACAAAGAAATTGGTAATTTATTGCAGTTTATTACATGGCTTAGTTGAATACTCGATTCTGATTGGTCAATTCAGAACACGTGACACGTTGTTAATCCAGAACAGACAGACCGCTGTCAAGCTTATTGGCCGTTGTTAAGGACGCTCACATCTGCCCAAAGAAGTCCGTTCTATTTAACTTTATACAGTTTGGCTGAAAAGCAACTGACAAGACAAGAGCGACAAGAAAACAGAGGAGAAGTAACGGGGCAGAAACCCTCCTTTTTACGCAGCGGTCCAGACAGACATCACACGGCGACACATATTCAGTGTGCAGTTCCTTTGGCATCAGGGCAGGGATATCTAGATACTTCCCAAGGTTTGACATCATGAATTGTGCTACTTTTAAAGCAAGCAGCGATGTTTTCAAATCTGTACTCAAAAAGTTCCGCCTTCCTGCGGAGCTATTTTTCTTAGCGGATGCATGTCAATTTAAATCAATACATACAACTATTTTTATTTATTTATTTATTCGTAAATATCCCCATCTGAGAATCATAGCTTTCTGTAGCATATCATTATAACATTATTTCAGGATTATTGTTTGTTTATTTGAGGTGCCTCCCTCTTAGCTTCCACCACAGTAACAGCTAGTGTAATTATGGTCCCTAAGATCTCCCTCCTTCACTGAATACATGTCTCCTCTGCAGGACTCTGATAACCCCGACCTGCGTGACCGAGGCTACATCTACTGGCGCCTGCTGTCCACCGACCCTGTGACCGCGAAGGAGGTGGTGCTGTCGGAGAAGCCTCTGATCTCCGAGGAGACGGACCTGATCGAGCCGACCCTCCTCGACGAGCTCATCTGCCACATCGGATCCCTGGCCTCCGTCTACCACAAGCCCCCCAGTGCCTTCGTGGAGGGAAGCCACGGCGTCCACAGGAAACACCTCCCTGTGCAGAACAGCAGGTTTGTTTCAGTTTGTGTGTACAGACAGAGAGATCGAAATACCGTTTCACACAATCCCGAATACAAAAATACAAATATTGTTCGAAAAATCTCCCTGGTCCCCGGCTTGAGCTTCAATCTCAGGATCCATGTATCTGTGATCCTCTCCAGAATCACATACAGAGCATCAACCAGTTCCTGAGCAGTGTCCTTCACATGCTGATATCCAAGAGAGGGAGATACACAGTCACAAGATGGAGGAATAGAAAGCAGTCTTCAATGTTTACTTCAGATTAGCTCCACGTCAGAAATGAGCATGCTTGATGTCTCTCTCCATAGAGGCTGAATCATCATGTTAATCACATAGCTATCATATGCCTAAAACAGTCCTGATGCTCTTCTAGGTCATCACACATCCTGTCATGTTCACAGCTTGCTGAACCTTTTGTTTTGTGCCTTAGCGGTGCTGCTGTATTCTCCTCCGGCAGCATTGAGACAGGCGAGAGCCCGGTCAGCGGGGGTCCGGCTGCGGCCATGGAGCAGCCGAGTGTGATCCCCAGCCAGGGGGACCTGCTGGGGGACCTGCTCAACCTGGACCTGGGCCCTCCGGTCAACGTGCCCCAGGTCTCCTCCATGCAGATGGGCGCCGTGGATCTCCTGGGAGGAGGCCTCGACAGTTTGGTAAGCTTACACACACACGTACACACACACACACACACACACACACACACACACACACACACACACACACACACACGCTAAAGTTATCTCTACAGATGCAATAAAATACATCTTTTCATCCCCATAATAAGAGATTGTTAATCTTATACCAGTTTATTTCTTATTTAAATGCTGCTGAAATGTTTTTTAGTTTTTTCTTGAGGTTATAATGTTTATGTAAGCATGCTTGTAATTTAAATTGCCTCATGATCTTTGCATTAAATCTAAAAAATATACAGCTAAAATATTTTTGAAAAGTTTTAAAATCCTGAACACATTAATATATTGATTTGTTTTTCCAAGAGTTAGGCTTGGTGTGTTTCTCCTCTGCTAATGGTCGCTCTCTACCTCTTCAAGCCGCTGGAGAAACTGGACTCCTTGATAGTCATGTTGCACATTTTAAAGTGTAACGTCTAACATAACATCGTGCAGAGTTGCTGTTTTTGCAGGAAGTGAGGGCTCGTCTTGATGGGTTGCGGTTGCTAAGAAAGTCTCTGTCTGTTTGTGTTTGGTTTGTCTTTGGGGGCCTCTCTTCTCCTGTAGCTGGGGGGAGACCTGGGCGGAGGTGTTGGGGGAAGTCCAGCAGTAAGTCCTTCTGTTCAGCAGTCTGTCTGTCTGCTTGCTGCATGCTCGCCGAGTTTAACCCACCACACTCTCAGCTTCTACGGTTCACTCGAACGTGTTTATCCTGGCTTCTCTGTCTCACACTCATGTAGCGAATACGACCGTTACCGTTCTCGTGTGGCTCCAGCCTTAGTGTTTAGTGTGTTGGTGCATCAAATAAACGTCATTAAAGAAATTGATTAAAGGACAAAAATCCAGAAAAAAATGGAACACGAGAAATATAAATAATATGTTAAATAAATCTGAATTAATAATTAATAACTTTGTAGTTTTAAAAAGTGGTCGTTGTGTTCTTACATGTGAGAAATTCTCCAAGAAATACTGTTGTGAAAAGTCAGCTGTTTTCAACTTTTAAATAATCACATCAACACATCATGTAGCCTTTTAATGAATGCCCTTAAACACTCAACCAGAAGTAGGATTCTTTAAATTCACAATCTGAGCATGTTCACACTTTCTTTGTAATAAGGGCTTTGGCTAATCGCTTGCTTTAATTTAAATGTTTTTGTTTCTGCACGACTTAAAAAGTGTCTGTTTGCTTTCTTTGTAGCAATTCTGAAGTTGCCAGTAATGCAAACTAAACTAAACTAAAACTGTGTGTGTGTGTGTGTGTGTGTGTGTGTGTGTGTGTGTGTGTGTGTGTGTGTGTGTGTGTGTGTGTGGTGTGTGTGTGTGTGTGTGTGTGTGTGTGTGTGTGTGTGTGATGTGTGTGTGTGTGTGTGTGTGTGTGTGTGTGTGTGTGTGTGTGTGTGTGTGTGTGTGTTGTGTGTGTGTGTGTGTGTGTGTGTGTGTGTGTGTGTGTGTGTGTGTGTGTGTGTGTGTGTGTGTGTGTGTGTGTGTTGTGTGTGTTGTGTGTGTGTGTGTGTGTGTGTGTGTGTGTGTGTGTGTGTGTGTGTGTGTGTGTGTGTGTGTGTGTGTGTGTGTGTGTGTGTGTGTGTGTGTGTGTGTGTGTGTGTGTGTGTGTGTGTGTGTGTGTGTGTGTGTGTGTGTGTGTGTGTGTGTGTGTGTGTGTGTGTGTGTGTGTGTGTGTGTGTGTGTGTAGGTGGGACAGAACTTCATCCCCTCATCTGTCCCCAGTACTTTTGCTCCGTCACCTACTCCCGCTCCTCAAGCCGTCAGCAGCGGCCTCAACGACTTGTTTGAGCTTTCCACCGGCATGGCCAACACCACCGGAGGATTCATCTCCCCAAAAGTAGTGAGTTTATACTTCAGAACCCCCTTGAATAATGGAAAACACACACTTAGTTTAGTCGACTCAATTACAGATGCATGCCTCGCAAAAAATACAAAAACTGCAAAGTAATGTGAGATTCTTTATAGTAAATACAGTGCCATTCAATAGTCTGTTATCAGCTGTTATAAAAACACATTTCTTGTTTGTTAGACGCATCATTGTGTACACAGAGGGGAAGATGTTCCTGTTATAATCTGCACACACTTCCAATTTATGAATCAATGACTGCTAATGTCTTCCTTTCTTATTGAACCAGAGTATCTTTGTCTCTTTCTGCACTCTGGTTGATGCAGTGATAGCGTTTTGTTCCCCAAATACAAAACAAATATTTAATACAAAGACAAAATGTGACCCGCTCTATCGAAATCAGTCGGAAGTCGCAACGGCTCATTTCAAAATAAACGTGGATTTGCGTAAAAGAATAGTTTTTCGGGGTTCGGTGTTTGGTTTGATTTTAAACAAACAAAGTCTTGGCTTTCAGAATATTAAACTTGTTTCAGCAAATTCAGATGATAAATACAGCTTTGAAGCTTGTGACGGCATCATTACAAGCGGAGAACGGAGTGACTTGACGTCACAGCAGGCGTAACAACAGCCGGTGTTTCTCGTGAGGGTTTTCCCCGGGAAACAAACACAATACACGCAAAAAATACACACACACACACACGTATACACACACACTCACACACACACACTCGCGAGCTTCCCCCAGACCAGTAATCCAAATGGAAATATCTTCCCTCCGTAGTACTTAGATAATTTGCTAGCCGCTAATAACCAATCAGATTGATGGATTCCAGAGAAGAGGAAACTTTGAAGGCCTTTCTCTCAAAGTGATGACTCGTGACAGTCATTATATAATGTCACATATTTCGCTTAATATTTGGAGTACAACAACAATCCTGATATCATTAGAAAGCTAGGAATCTCCTCTTTCCAACAGTGTATACAACTCAAAATGTGTCTTCGGGTCAATGCGACTGATTTCGATGGAGCAGCTCACATATGTACAAAAAGGCCTTTCTCCAACCTATCAGAAACATTCAGAAATGACTGCACCTAATCAAACTTTTCCTGCAGGAGTTCCCATTGTAAAAACTACGTGTAGAACTGATTACACTCATCGTCTTTTCACCCAGATTTGGCTGCCGGCAGTGAAAGCAAAGGGTCTGGAGATCTCGGGAACTTTCTCTCGCCGCCAGGGTCACATGTACATGGACATGACCTTCACCAACAAAGCCCTGCAGCACATGACCGACTTCGCTGTCCAGTTCAACAAGAACAGGTCAGAGCGCTGAAACACAATATAACACAGTATATCTGCCATCTGAAATAGAAAGGCTTTATCTAGGTCAGGGGTTCAGGGGGGTCAAACTCAAATACACAGTGGGCCAAAATAAAAAAATGGGTACTAGTCGAGGGCCGGACTGGTTCAATGTTTATTGCAGAACTTATTGAAATGAACTTATTGCACATATTAAACCTGGAACCAACAAAGCTTAAATGATTGCCTATAAAAACAACATTAAACATTAAATAAACAGCTGCATTCATTTCTTCTGGCTCTATCTGCAGCTTTTCCAGAGTCATTTCTTATGAGTACATTTTTCCACAGGCCAGCAACAGCTTCAACAAAACTATTTCCCTCAAAGAACAAACCAAACATGCCCTGTTGTCGTGAGAGAAAGTGCAGAAGGAAACATCCATTAAACTCAGGTTGCTGCTCTGTGATGCTAGCTCAGATACTTGGCATCTCATCTTGGGTGCAAGCTCATCAATGTTTGGGCTCAGGCTCTGAGCTGAGGAGACCCTCAGGATGGAGGGAAGGTGTGCGTGCAATATACCGGCGGGCCAGATCTAATAGTAATTAGAAATTATCCTGCGGGCTGAAATTAAATCCACCAAGGCCCTGATTTGGCCCCCGGGCCTTAAGTTTGACATGTGGTCTATGTGTACTTTAAGTTCAAGTTTCAAGGCTTTTATTGTCATGTGAACATTAGCTACAGTGTAGATATGATGATGAAAATCTTAGGTCACAGCCAGGCTCCTCCAACAGTGCAACATAATAAAACAGATAAAATAGTTAAAATAGAATAGTGCAAGGAGAGTCTATATACAAGTCATTGGAATATCAAATCAAATCAAGTTTTATTTATATAGCACATTTATAAACGATTTTTGATCGAGCCAAAGTGCTGTATCAGTATGAGAAAACGACACCCTCGATCCTTAGACCCTCTGTCCTTAGACCCTCTGTCATTAGACCCTCTGTCCTTAGACCCTCGATCCTTAGACCCTCACATCGTACAAGGAAAAAACTATAATAAAAAAATATGATATATTAGATAAATAATGTGTAAGTTGCAAACAGATGAATGTTCTTCCAAAGGTTCAGGTGTTTAACAGTCTATCTTATAACTGAGTACAGGTAGTCAATGCCACTAATATTTGGTTTGTTTTTCCTTCATGTAGTTTCGGGATGATTCCTACCAGTCCGCTGCCAGTTCACACTCCACTGATGCCCAGCCAGACTATCGAGGTCTCTTTGCCCATCAACACCATTGGCCCGGTCATGAAGATGGACCCACTCAATAATCTGCAGGTACTGAAGAACTCACTCGCCGCACATTTTTTACAGCAGTGCAACACGTTTAACACGTACCGACTAGGGATTTATACTTTTTCTGAACATTAGACATTTGTTTTATCATGGAAGCAGAAGCTCACTTTCCTTGTTCTTAATGTATAGCTACAGTAAAGCAACACTCAACCCTTGTGTTGTGTTCAAAAGCTGTTACCGCTCATGGTGTTCGAGGGTCAGTTTTGACCCATGATTTATCTCAGTCCAAAAAAAAAATGATTATCATCCAATATTGTTTTAACTACATCATAACTAACTTATAATGCATTCATAACCGTACAATCCTGTTGTCATTGTATTCTATGGCCCCAAAACACATTACACCACATATTGAGCATGTGTGAGTTCAGGTTCAAGTGTTGGTGTACATATTCTTTGAGAAAGGTTGAGTTCCCGTGGGGGGAGGGGGGAAGAGGGAGGGGAGACCAGGTGCATGTTGCGAAAAAGTATTGTTACAGTGGATGAAGGGGGGAGGGGGGGTAGGTGTCTAAAGTCAAAGATGAATCTTGATTGGGCCAAATTTTACCTCGAGTGAAAACAATTCTGCTGGGTCTCCCCAGACCCGACACTAAATTATACACTTTGTTTTTTAGAGACCTTCAGACTTGGCAAAAATGGTCAAAATCTGTTTTGTAGTGTTTATATAGCTGCTGTGGAGGATATCATGAAGCCTTGTTCCCATACAAAGAACTAGAGCGTAGTTATTATTACATTACATTACATTGCATTTAGCTGACGCTTTTATCCAAAGCGACTTACAATAAGTACATTCGACCAGGAAGACACAACCTTGAAGAAAACAGAATCATATAAGTACATCAGGTTTCATAGAGCCAAACATTTCAAGTGCTACTCAACTGGCTTTAGGTAATCCAGTCCTTTATTAGTATAAAAGTGCTTCGTTAATCGTTCTAACGCTCGAAGTGGAGTCGAAAGAGATGAGTTTTCAGTTTGCGCCGGAAGATGTGCAAGCTATCTGCCGTCCTGATGTCAATGGGGAGCTCATTCCACCATCTTGGAGCCAGGACAGCAAACCCACGTGTTTTCGCCGATATTATATAATTGTAACTTGTCACGGGAGACCCGAACACAACATAAGGGTTAATGGAGAGAAATGTGCATTAACTTATGGATTCCCAAACTACTGCTTATGTGTATTATGTTTTTGTATAAATGATTATTATTTGTTTAATTGAACACAGGTGGCTGTGAAGAACAGCATCGATGTCTTCTACTTCAGCGTACTCATCCCTCTCAACATATTCTTCGTTGAGGACGGAAAAATGGGTAAGAGTGTTAACTATTGTCAACTATATCTGGAATTCCCTCTCCCAAGATCTTTGTGATTCAGAGCCCCTCAGTCTTTCAGTCCCGCCTCAAAACCCATCTCTTCAACTCTGTCTATCCATAAGCCCCCCCCCCTCAATCAACATCCTCGTGACTGCCTTGTCTTTGTTTTATTTATTTATTTTTGTTGTTTTTTGTTTTTCCTTGTTTGTCTACCCTCCCTCATACTGTGTAAAGCGTCTTTGAGTTCCAGAAAAGCGCTATATAAATATAATTTATTATTATTAACTCTTTTAAACCTCATCTCACCAACAATATATTTTGCAAACAATTCGGCAAGGTTACAATTATTCTGAAAATGTTTGTCATTACATTTGTTAGACGCTTTTATCCAAAGCGACTTGCATTCAGTACTGTGGAAAATCCCCACATGAGTAATTTGGGGTGAAGTGTTTTGACCAGGGACACAACGACATGCTGACTGCAGTGGGACTCGAACTTGCTATCCCCTGATTTGAAGTCCAGCACACTATCCACTGAGCCACAGCCTCCCTGTTATATATCTTTACCATTGAACTAGAAACGGTTTATCACACATACTGTCACAGACCTGTGTTGATGCGTGTGTCGTCCCTCTTCAGAGCGACAGGTGTTCCTGGCGACCTGGAAAGACATCCCCAACGAGAACGAGCTACAGTACCAGATAAAGGAGTGCCATCTTAATGCAGGTAGGCCACGTTGGAGAATTCAACTCCTGTGCTGCAAAGAAATGTTTGTAATGTAAACAGATCAGAAGGTATCTGTGGTGGACAAGCAAAGCTGCTCATTGTGTATCTTTTATATTTATTTCTCTCTCTGCTTTTATATTTTCTAGGCATGTTCTTTTGTTGAGTGTAATTACAGACTCATTGCTTTTTGTTAAGAATGAGAAAAATATTTTATTCCCATAGGTAATTGTATGACTTTAGTACTCACTTGCACAACAATGAATGGTTCAATGAAACTGAAGACAACTAAAGCCATAGTGACCCGCACATGGAGCACCTTTGCAACTCCTTTCAGATGGATGGATAATCCTGGCAAAGTAGAAGTGTTCACTAACATGGATTTAAACAAATGTGTCCACAATATTTGAGAGAAATAACCTTTTTGTGGGCTTAGAAAAATACATGTATATTTATTTTTGCAAAAACAAAAGTGTTTCTATATTTTGGTCAGTGTACGTAAAGGGTTACAGCGTGAATGAAGTGTGATACATGTTCATCCTGCCCAATTACATCAACCCACTGTGCCCTTTCAACCCCTTTGAGGTCCCCAGGACTAGCCTACAGTATATGGCGCATTTCCACTACAGCGCGGTTTAAGCATGCCGTGCCCGATTTTTGGTTGCGTTTCCACTTGGGGTAGTTCTGGCTAGCGGGTACTTTTTCACAGTTTTTCTGGCTCTCCAAAATCGAGGTTCTTTGCGGGCCAACAAACGGGCTGAGTATGCTAAACTAGTGAGAGAATCGCTGGCAACTACAACAAAATGAACATATTTGACCGTGATTTAATTGTAACACACGTTTCAAAATGATGCCGAAGTAACAACATACTGATACCGGTTAGTAAAAACCATGAATTAATGCTTTGACAAGTCTGCAGACAGACGGCAGGCGAAACACCTTTTAAAATGCGTGTTTTCTGAATGGAGATCGGCTAAGCTAACGTTGTATATGCTCCGACCGACCACACTCACAACAACGGCCTACAGACATAAATAAAGCAGCGACTGTATTCGCCATGACACAGGCAGTCTGTGGTTTGTACTTGTTTAACTTTTGTCTAGTTTCTGAACAGATATGAGGAGCTGTGAGCTCTGAGTGCTAACAGCTAACGGCTGATGTTGGTTTTGTGTTTTGCATTAAAGATGGCGTCTCGGCTCCGCCTACACTGCGTTACTATAGTTACTGCCCCAGTTCCTAAACTGTAATGGAAACGCAGCATAAAGTGAGCCTGGCCTAACAAGGCCTAGCCATACCGTACTAAGCCGTACGAGGCCCTGCAGTGGAAATGTCACCTTAAAGACTTTAAATGTCCTCAGAAATCATGTTTGGACAGAAATAATCAAATACCTCAAAAATACAACTCCTGGAAAAACCTCACTCTCCTCTCTGTGTTTTCTCTCTTAATCCACATGCCTATCTTCGGACATTTCCTCCTGAAGATCACTTCCAAATGGCCCACTATGTGCCGTCCGGTTGTTCCTAGCAGGCCCAGTGTTGTAGACTACCTGGTCAGGTTAACTTAGATGTTATTGTTTCCTCTCGTAGTTCATTAAAATCCTCGTAGAGCTAATTTACCGTTAAAAAACGTTTATTAGAATTAGAACTTGTGTACATTAGAGTTAGCTCCTTTTAGTGACTAGTGATTACAGCCTCCTGCGTGTGTGCCGGTTTCTTTTTGTTCAGTCATTTAGCTGTGTTAATAACTTGATATTACTTGTGATCCTGCAGACTCAGTTTCAGGGAAGCTGCAGAATAATAACATCTTCACCATCGCCAAGAGAAACGTAGAAGGCCAGGACATGCTGTACCAGTCTCTGAAGCTCACCAACGGCATCTGGATCCTGGCCGAGCTCCGCATTCAGCCCGGAAACCCTAACTACACGGTAGAGTTACCGGCAATTTGCAATCTGCTTTTCTTTGACTGTCTGCTGTCTTTCATGGGTGTTGAACGTCCAATTGTAGCTCCTAAAAGCCGTCTATTACCCGTCATAATTGTTCCTACACTGAGCAATAGTTTATCATTCATAAAAGTGACTAGTTTAATAATATTTAGTAATAACTATACTGATCCTTTCAATGGACACATTTTGTATTACATTTTTCCCCCTAGCTTTTCTTAGTGGTATTATTGTTGCCACTGAGGGCCTAAGGGCCATAATTAAACATAATGTTTATTAAGTTACGTTACAATACTTTACAATAATCGTTTAGACACCGATATTGTTATGCTCTTAAAACAGCTGAGTGATTATCAAAGTCAACTTTATTGTCACTCTTCCAGTTTGTGTGTACAGAGAGATCGAAATACCGTTTCCCACAATCCCGAATATAAAAACAAATGTATATAAAAATATGTGTGCAAATATGTATAATCCTATATACACAGTCAAAGACACATTTGTACATGTGCACACATTAAGACCTAAATAAAAACACAACAATCAATATATACAAAATAACAGTCACTTCAATATTTTGAGTCGGGATGCTCCGATCGACAATTTTGGGGCCGATCGCCGGAATCAGTATCTCCGATCGAGTGGGCGGGGCTTATGGGGATCTTCCATTTAAAGTGATGTTTACAACTCAGTTAATGGGGCTCATTCACTGGCGCTTCCACAAACAACAACCAACATCATTATTACATTCAAATGAAGTACATTATTCAAGTTTACATTATCTCTCTCTCTCTCTCTCTCTCTCTCTCTCTCTCTCTCTCTCTCTCTCTCTCTCGTCTCATGCAGCTCACTGATCCAGTAATGAGTGACCCGATAGTGAAGAATAAATATATTTATAACTAGTTTAGCTTGTTCCAGAGGTAGATCAAATAGCTAAGTGTGTTAGGTCTAACTCTTAGTGTGTGTTTCGCTCACCGGTCCCTCACAGCGGGCGGAGCTGCAGGATTTCTGCTTCACACACGTTGCGTACCGCTATTTTACTATCATTTTGGGACACCCTAAAATACTGCCAGACCGGTGAAGCCATTTTTTGGCGAGCTTGTTTTGCCACGCACGGAGAAAAGTGTCATGTATTTTACGTCATCATTTTACGTCATGCGATCGGCATTTTTAGAGAGCACCGATCGACATCGACCGATACTCACTCTCTGCTGATCGGCGGCCGATCGATCGGAGCATCCCTAATTTTGAGAATGTAATATTGTATAGATTATAGATTGTGTATACAAAGTCAAATATGTCTGTTATTTGAACTGTGTGTCCTTCTGTGTTTCCTCAGCTGTCTCTGAAGTGTCGGGCCCCGGAGGTTTCTCAGTACGTGTACCTGACGTACGACTCTGTGCTGAAGAGCTAATTTAGCTCCAACTCTTGACAACTCTGCTTCGTATTTACAACAATCTGCAGTGTTTTATCATTTTCTGCCATATGCAGCTAACTGCCAAAGCAAAGGGCTCTAAACAGTGATAGAACGTCATTTGGATTATTAGTTGTATTCTTCCTCTGAGAAATCAACTAGGCACATTTCAATGAGAAACCATATGGTGGTTTATGTTGTCCTGAAGTCAAACACTGTTTACGTCTCTTTGCTTTGGCAGTTTGAAAAGCATTATTGAATCTTCTTCTTCAGCTCCCCATTTCTATGTTTACCTCCCAGTGAAAACACGTCTACCATTCCATCCTTAATTGAGTTTCTTAATGTTGTGAAGATGTGACTGATGGTTAACTGCCATGAGTGGAAATACTAATCTCCCCAGATTCTATGAAGCCAATTATCTTTTATTTTGCACGCTGTATGGCTCACATTCCTTTTGATTCTTTTATATTGCTTCGGTTGCACCTACAGAATGATAAGTGTTGTTCCTTTTGCCATTAATGTGTATGAAGAGTGGAAAGCATCAATGTGATCTTACAATAACTTCTGCAGACATGCTTAATTAACAAAACATACATCACATTACGCAGCATATGTACCTCTGTTCTCAGTCTAGCATTGGTTTAGATGTCTCACTCGTGCTACTCTGAGAACCGGGGTTACACAAGTAACCTCACGTTTTCCTTTCATGGCTTTAACACAGCTTCTTGTATTTCATGGGGTTACATCTATATATATCGGCAGTTTGAAACATTGTACAGTAATTGAAACACTTCAAAATGCATTCCAAAAAGTTGGAAAAGGAAAATGCAGAGCGGAGATAAGTAAGAGCTCCAGTAACTCTAATGAAACCAAATCCAGGCATTTCTTCGCTTCTTCCAATCTAAGAATTATCACCTCAAGTTTTTCTTTCCTGCCGTTTGTGGTTAATCTGGCAGAGCGAAAGAGATGGATACCGCAGGGGATAAAACACAGAAGCAGGTCGTTCCGAGGTCTTTATTGCAATCGCTTTTCCATGAGCCTTCAGTCTGTATTAACACTCCTTTCTCACCTCAGCTGCACATAGACGTTGTTGTTTTTTAAAGCTTTTTCTTATTTTTTTGATGTTTTAATAGTTCAAGTCATATAATGCAGATTGACCGATGCATCAAAATGCAAATAAATGTGAAATCAACTTAAATTCCGCCAAAATAGAACATTTTTATGAAATTAAAAAGTATTGTAAAAGAAACAAAACTCATAGTGAGGAACACAAACCCCCTTCTTTAACATTTGTTAAAACTTGTTTTCAAATATCCAGGTTGCTGTTAAGTTTGAACTTGAAAATCTTCCCCCATTTGAACCACTCCACAAACCACAGCAGCTACGGATTAACACACCAGTGCCACTCTGTTTTAAAAAGTATTTGACATAACTCTTCTTGTTATAGCCCCGTTAACTGCAACCACATAGTTGTACACGGCTTAATGCACCTCTTTGTCATTCCTATTTATTGTGCATCTACCTCTGTGTGTTTTCCTTTTTAACCGGCGTTATTGTTGCAGTAGCTTCAATTCTGTAAAGTGCTTTAAATGTCATCTTTCGATTCCAGTGTTTTTTTTTTGTGTGTTCTTCATGCCATTGTTGTCGAGCTATTTTAAACCTGTGGCAACACAGCCGCACTAATCTCACAGGACCAAGCATTCACGCAAATTAAATGCCACGTCTATGTTTTAATACCCAAGTGTCCATATAATCTTCTAATGTTGGCTTTTTGTGTGCTTTAGAGGGTGCAAACTGTACGCCCTGAGGCCCAGAGTTGCGCTAGTACAGTGTAGTCCAGTGATGGTGTAGTTAATGTAGCTAATCAATTAAAAATGTTTTGGTATTACCCTGAAAAGGAAATTAAGCCTTCCCTCTATCCATTGATCAGAACATTTTCAGTGTAATGAATGTGTCGGTGAACCTATTTTCCTACATGGTAACATGTTTATGTGCCTGCATGAGCCCACTGTCCTTTTGATCCTTTTTCATTTAGGATGTGGCTTTGCTCCCAACTCCCAACTTCATGTCTCGGTTGTAGATCTCATATTTTTAAGCCCCATTGTCTTCAGCACTCCCACTTTAAGAAGTATATCAAAAACGTTTGCCAGCAATAGAGACTGTATGGTGACGGCTATAATGGCGTCTTATATAAATGGAAAATGTCTAGAATTATTGCTGTAACCCTGTTGTAAATGGTGTTTTTGTCACACTACCACATCTTATGTCATTAAAATGTCAAAACAAATGATGCGTTTGGAAGTTCATATTTATATAAACTAAGTCAGACTCAAGAGATGGGTAAAACTCTAGTGGATTTTTTAGAAAGTCAAGTGAACTGTTCCTATTTATTATCACACATCATCAGGGAGCTGTATCACAAAGCTGGATTAGTTCAGCAAAAGAAAATTACTTTAAGTACAGACCATTTACTGAATGCCAAATAAAATGATAAAAGTTTTCAGATCTCATATTCGGCTTATTACAAAGTATGTTTGCCGATACAAGGAATTTACTTTGGTGTATAACCAATATATAAGTGCATACCTAAACGCAGAAAAATGTAACTATAAAAATAGGAGAAATATTGAAATATAATTGAGTAACATTATGAACAACATCAATATACAAACAAGGACAAATAAAAAGAATATGACAAATGAATGAGATTTTTCCTGAATTAAAAATGCAGTGGCTTTGCCGTTCTGAAAATGGTAGTATTGTAATGAAATTTGGAAAATAATGAGAGGAATGTTCACAGAAAGACTGCAGATGTACAACCACAATGAGTCATGGGAAGAGATAACATTACATTACATGTAACTTGTTAGACGCTTGTATCCAAAGCGACTTACATACATTCATACATTGCCCAGGGACAGAACGACATGCTGACTGCAGTGGGACTCGAACTTGCTATCCTCTGATTCAAAGATCAGCGCACTAACCCACTGCGCCACACGCCTCCAGATAAGAGTCTATAAGAGTTGGATAAATGTATTTATTATGTTCACACTGCATATTATGAGTGCTTGCTTGGATGTGACAGTTTACAAGATAACTCCTTTCCATGTTTATTCTACCAGTTTGAGTGCAGTTTCAACATTAATTTAAAGGTGGCGCTGTGGTAGCACCCTGCTGTAAAAACTGACGCGAAGAAGAAGAAGAAGGCAGCGGCCCGCGACCAATCAGATCACCTGGCGGGTCCTGGGGTTGTTGTGCTCCTCTGTCACACTTTTGTAAAACATTATAACGGTACTATAAAGATACACCATGTCGTCGTTTGTGACCGAAGTGCTCGCCAGCTCCGGCAAACTGGAGAAAGAGGACCTGTCCTGTAAAATAAGCAAACTGTCGCGCAAGGTGGAAGATACGAAGGTAATCAACCAGCTAGCATAGCATTAGCTACGTAAAGCTACGTAAAGTTTGGACCAGCGTTAGCAGTTAGCGCTAACACTGAAAAGCACAAACTTCTTTGATCCTTTCACCGACGTTTGGTAGATGTTCACAACTCACCTGGAATACAATTAACCCATAAATAAACATAAATCACATCACAAGTTGATAAAGGGTGTTTTTTAAAAGCTAGTTTAGCTAAGTGCATTTTCATTAGCAAGACCGTTAGCTAGCCATATGTGTCAGTGGTGACATCTGATTACGTGGCTGTAGAGAAACCATTGCACTGTGTTTTAATAATCTAAATATAATACATGTATACTAGCAGTCGTAGTGTTTTACTGTATGTGGGTGTCTTGGATGAAGTCAGTGTTTTAGCCAAGTACTACACTTAACGTACAAATGTTAGGTACCTAGGTTACTTGTTTTTTCTTTAGATTTGCTTGACTGCAACTAACTGACATCTTGAGTTACACATACAGATATGAGAATACACAACGTGTGAAAAGCTAATCATATTATTGTAATGGTACTCATGCAAACATATGTAATGGTTCACGTTTTACACATTTGAAAATATGCTGCTTTTTAATATGTATTACAGTAACTTAAACATGTGTTTTGTTTTGCAGCAAAGCATGCATTGATTGAGCTCAAAGGCAGTATACAGAGCCCTGGGTGTTCAGGCCTTTGTGAAGGGATTGTGTGTACAGTCCAGAGTAATGAAGACTACATGTACACAAACTGTACACACCTGGGCTTAAAGCAAAAGTATATCTTGTGTCAATGTGTCTGCTTTCTTCATGTTTATTTCGTAGGAAGAAGTATGTGAAATGATAAACAAGAAGTATAATGACTTCCTGCCGAGTCTTCAAGGATCTGAGGAGCTAATGCTAGAGGTCGATGAGGTCTCCAAAGAAATGGATGTCCTTAAAAACTGCATTGAGACGGAGGTATGTGTGAAACTGTTTTTAAATAATATATATACTTAAGAGCAGAACGATGGGTTCAGTTTGACTCTAGGTGGATTTACAGCAACGTTGTCGTTTTTTGACACAGGTGCAGCAGAATGTCCACGTGGCTGTGGCTGAGTATGCAAAGCTAAAGCAGCAGCTGGAGAAAAACACTGTCATCATAACAATGCTTGGACACCTAAAAGAGGTACAACATCCATGGGAGTTTGTAATACCAACACAACATTTGAAATGAGTTTAATGAAATATAATGTAATATGCAGTCGCAAAGATATGATATCGTCCAATTATAACTAATCTTTGTGTCTCAGTTTCACAGTGCAATGGAGGAGTCCAACAAAGCTTTACAGGATAAGAAGTATGTTGTCGCAGCCAACCAGCTACAAAGGGTAAGAGCTTCTTACAGCATGTCCCAAAAAACCTTACTGAACTAGGACGGGGCAACTCGGAAATCATTACAACACATTAAGCTGTTTTTTTTACTTGTTCAATCGTTTTGAAACCTTTTACTATATGTCCCTTGGTGCATCAGTAAGAATACACCAGTATTACATTACACGTCACTTGTTAGACGCTTTTATCCAAAAAGACTTGCATACTCAACACTGTGGACAATCCCCCACAGGAGCACTTTGGGGTGAAGAGTCATAGGGACACAACGACATGCTGACTGCAGTGGGCTTTGAACCAACGCACAACCCACTGCACCACACGCCTCCTATAGCGTTGAAAGGTTCCTGGTATCATTCATACTGACAATGAGGGCACAAACTATATAGCAGACTTGCATATTAATTGACACACATACGGCTCATATAGCCAGCAAAGCAACCTTCATCCCACACATCTCCATCAAACTCCCTTCCCTCATTTGTACACAGGTTTTTTATGCTTTCAACTTTACTGATTGATACTTATTTGACGGTTTTTCTTCCAGGCAAAAGCCACAGTGGATTCCCTGAAGGGCTGGAAGACTTCCCAGCTGCCTCTGCTCAGCGCTCTCAGCTCCGAGTTGACGGTGCAGAGAGAAAACTTAATCTACCACCTGGGAGATGAATGGAAGCGCCTCGTCATCTGGAGACTACCGTCCTCAAAGGGTAGGACTTCAATATGTGTTAAATATACAACTATATGGGGTATACTGTGTTCTGTACTTTGTTGAGGTGGAACTTAGTATCTTCCTCAAACAAAAACATGTTCACTTCTAACAGTATTCAGTGTTGTCTCAAAGTTGAGAGTCCCTTTCTTCTGTACAGTGTTCACATACACATATGTTTCTGATTGTGAAGATATCAATCTCACCTTTCCCCCAATGCCAATATCCCTGTCATTGTCTCAAAACATGATTCCGCCTCCCACCATGTGAAGTGTCGTGGATATGAATCGCTCACAACATGAAAGAATAATACAGAGAGAGAAATAAAACACAGAGATAGTTGAGATTAATTATTATTTTGTTAAATAATAATAATAATAATACATTGCATTTCAAAGCGCTTTTCCAGGTGCTCAAAGACGCTTTACAGTGGTGATAAAACATGATAAAATAACACTTAAAAGTTATTAAAACAAGATAAAATAACACTTAAAAGTTATTAAAACAGCAATACAGCATAATTGTACAACAAACACAATAATGAGAAACACTACCTTGCTTTCAAGCAGCCAATCGCATCGTGGTCCCCAGACGGCCTTACCTCACCTCCTCTTAGACAGTTTATTAACATACGCACAACTGCAACTAGGGTAACAAGAGGTGCTTGCATTATTCCACTCAGAAAAAGTTCTTTCAGTCAGTCTTCATTTTCTGTTAAAGCTGCTCAGCGATGGAACTCAATCCCACCTCCAATCAGAGACACATTCACTTTATTTCAATCCCAACTCAAAACCTGGTTAGTGAGGAATCAGCTCTGCCAACACTGACCCAATCTCCTGCTCCTTACAACCCACCGCCTGTGTTTTAACATGTTCTTTTGTTTTGGTTTAATGTTCTGTATTTTAAATAGTTTTATTTAAGTATCCCAGTAGTGATCTTCAGGGACTGGTCAGCTTTCTGTCCCCAGAGTCAGAACTAAACATGGTAAAGCAGCGTTCAGTTATTATGCTCCAAATATCTGGAACAAACTCCCAGAAACCTGCAGGTCCGCTGCAACTCTGACTACTTTTAAATCCAGGCTGAAGACTTTTCTTTTTGTCGCTGCTTTTAATTGAACTATTCATATCTTAGACTGCACTGTAACTTTTATCCATGTACTTTTTTCTTTTAATGTTTAATTGACAGCACTGTAACTTGTATCCATGTATTTTTTCTTTTAATGTTTATTTTATTAGCTTTTCTTTTTAATGACTGCCATTTTCTTAATCTCTTTCATTTTTTGTAAAGCACTTTGAATTGCCTTGTGTTGAAAAGTGCTATATAAATAAACTTGCCTTGCCTTGCCTTGCCTTGCCTTGCCTTGCCTTGCCTTGCCTGCCTTGCCTTGCCTTGCCTTGCCTTGCCTTGCCTTGCCTTGCCTTGCCTTGCCTTGCCTTGCCTTGCCTTGTGACTGTTGCTTGTTTTAAATGTATTGTATTTACTTGTTTAAAATGAAATGTGTTTTAGGTTGACTTTTAAAATCTGTCCAGGGACTACAGATGAAAAATACCCTCTTGGCTAACTCTGGCACGTTTACAGAAATGTTCATTAATGTGACTGTCCCTGTTAAATAAATAAATGAATAAATAAATAAATTAATTAAATAAATTAAATAAATAAATAAATAAATAGACAAAAGGACCCCCCACGTATCTTACCAGTCATGTCACACCCCCCATTCGTCCTTTTGTCATAGCTAACATATTACAGATATATATAAGGTCACTTTCTCATGACCCCTCTGGCATTTAATCAACTTGTCAATGAGCTGTTGGCTTATTCTTGTTTTGCGTATTTAAAAATATATTATAGCAAATGTATGTGTGATGCTTTGTAAGTGACTGTTGGATGTGTCCCAGCAGAGCCTGCAGATCTGAAGTCCTTCTTGAAAGTGGAGCTGAACCTGAGCCACTCGTGCAGTAAAGATGAAGAGCCCGGACCTCCTGCTGTGCTGTGCTCCGTCCTGCAGGCTCTGGCCATCCAGGGAGACCTGCAGCACAAGATCAAACTGTTCAGTAAGAACCAGCTAGAGTACACGGTTACATATCAAACACGGTTGCTTAGATAATGTTTGCACTGTGCACTTTTTGATTCATATTTCCGGTAAAGGATATTTTTTCTTGTAAGCAAGAGAGAGTCACTTCTAATAAGTTATATGTGATCATTAGGTACCATGTTTCTCAGGAGAATTCTGCATCCTGAATCATAATGTATCCATGAGTGTTCTCAGTGATGGTGTCTTTCAAACTCTTCAGTAAGAATAAGCTAGACACGGTTAAGCTGTTAAATAAATAATAATAATAATAAAATAAATAATAATAATAAATAAATAAAATAAATTTAATTAAATTAATTAAATTAATAATAAATAAATAATAATAAGCTGTTAAAACGGTTAAATATCAAACACTCTTAATAATAATAATAATAATAATAATAATAGTACATGACACTTATATAGCGCTTTTCTAGAAACTCAAAGACGCTTGGACAGAGAGTAACACAGAAACGAAGAAAATACGTAAAGAGACGACCAAAAACAGAAAGGGGGAGGGGCTGGTCAGAGGTTGAATGCAGTTTTGAACCGGTGGGTTTTGAGTGATTTTTTGAATGCGGTGAGGGAGGAAGAGTCTGATGGGTTGGGGTAGTGAATTCCATAGAGCAGCAACGGAGAAGGCTCTGTTGCTGAGCGAATCACTTCTAATAAGTTATATTATACGATAAAACTTTAATGGTCAGATCAAGTCTGAAATGTGACTTGCATCACAGCAGCTCCATGTGTAACATCAACATGGACACATATCAGGACATGACAAACAAACATTTAACATGACAGCACAATCACTGGGAGAAAAGCTGCTCAAAGAGCCTTCAGCGTGCATCTGATCTGGATTCAGCTCTGTGTTTACTGAGAGGGTTGACTGGAGCAGTTTTGATTTTGACAAACACTTGTAACTGGTAGAATTGCAATACTGTAGAATAGACATGTGATCATTAAGTACCATGTTTTTTAGGAGAATACTGCGTCCTGAAGCACGATGTATCCACGGTCAGAGCGTGCTCACTGATGGTGTCTGTCGTTGTCCTGCAGGTCAGGTGCTGCTGAAGAACATGCTGAAGCCCCTGGTGATGTTCCCCTCCCTGTCGGTGCGGGTGACGGAGCAGCCGGAGAAGGGAACCGTCCTGGCTCTGCAGAGTCTGGAGGAGAGTCAGGAGGAGAGGTCCACTCCTTCACAAGTCTACAGCAAACTGCTGCTGGTGCTCACCACGCTGCACTCACACCTGCTCGGTACAGAACGTGTCTTTCATCCTTTCTTTATAACTAATGCTGTTGATGTATTGTGATTTTAAAAAGGTGTCCATTATCATCTGGCCGGGGACAACAGCTGGAAATTAGCAATGTTAGCTAAAGCTGCCCCGTTTACTGTTCTTTGTGACAGTTGATCAATGGCGACTGTCCACGGCACTATAAACAAATACATTAAACTACTGCTGGGCCTATTCGAAAACATATGACATGTTTTAAAGTTCCCCTATTACACTGTTTCTCATCAATATATCACATGTCTCAGATATATACAAAACCTGTCTCTGATTGGCTGAAACACCAAACAGATCATTGCAGCATTACCCATAATCCCCTCTGTTTCAGCCCTGTTTCCAAAGTGCTGATTCTCTGTCTGTTACTTTAGATGAAAATAAGGAGCCCCTCCCCACGCCCCTCTGAGAGAGATTTGGTTACAAATAACTCAATGGTGCTCTAGGAGGAGATTCAGGTGATAAGGGGGGGGGGGGGGTTACCTTGGTTGCTGACAGGACAGGTCAGACAGGTTTTTATATAAATGGATCAGGACAAAAAGAGAGAGAATCTTTTTACACAGAGGGGACACATGTTGATGTAGAAGAGACATGAAGAAGAGGGGACACATGTTGATGTAGAAGAGACATGAAGAAGAGGGGACACATGTTGATGTAGAAGGGACATGAAGAAGAGGGGACACATGTTGATGTAGAAGAGACATGAAGAAGAGGGGACACATGTTGATGAAGAAGAGACATGAAGAAGAGGGGACACATGTTGATGTAGAAGAGACACGAAGAAGAGGGGACACATGTTGATGTAGAAGAGACATGAAAAAGAGGGGACACATGTTGATGTAGAAGAGACATGAAGAAGAGGGGACACATGTTGATGTAGAAGAGACATGAAGAGGAGGGAACACATGTTGATGTAGAAGAGACATGGAGAAGAGGGGACACATGTTGATGAAGAAGAGACATGAAGAAGAGGGGACACATGTTGATGTAGAAGAGACATGAAGAAGAGGGGACACATGTTGATGTAGAAGAGACATGGAGAAGAGGGGACACATGTTGATGTAGAAGAGACATGGAGAAGAGGGGACACATGTTGATGTAGAAGAGACATGGAGAAGAGGGGACACATGTTGATGTAGAAGAGACATGAAGAAGAGGGGACACATGTTGATGTAGAAGAGACATGAAGAAGAGGGGACACATGTTGATGTAGAAGAGACATGCAGAAGAGAGGACACATGTTGATGTAGAAGAGACATGAAGAAGAGGGGACACATGTTGATGTAGAAGAGACATGAAGAAGAGGATTTTGCATTATCGGTGACCTTTAAAACTGCTCAATGTCACTGAGTTTTACTTATTATTTTTCAGACGTGTTTATTGGCGATAAAAAGCTCTCGGCCATCATGGGGGAGCTGATCTGGGAAGAAATCTCCCGTTGCATCATCCACGAGTGTCTGCTTTACTCCATCCCCAACAACAGCAGCCAGCTGGAGAAATACAGCACGGTATGGACACAACAACACTTTGTAATGTGTTGTGAAATTATAATGACAGAGAATCATATGTTTATTGACTATCATTCATTTATTCACTCAAGGTGATCAAGGAAACGGAGGAGTTTGAGAAGTCTCTGAAGGAGATGGAGTATCTGCAGGGCGACTCCACAGACCTGCTCAAATACTCCCAGGACGTTAACTGTCACTTCGCCAGAAAGAAATGCAAGGATGTCATCGTGGCGGCTCGCAAACTCATGACCTCCGAGATGCACAACACCGTCAAAGTATGTCGAGCGAGGGTTGGTGGTCTGGATGAATAAACCGCAGACTGTTGCCAGCATTTAATAAATAAGGGGCATTATTAAGCATCTTATTTACTTGAATTAAAAAAGGTTTTCCAGAGATAATGTCGGTCAAAGGAGAAGATAGTCCCGACCTTTGAACATTTTATTTTCATAAAAATAGACCATGCAAAACATTATTAGGTTTGTTTCTTTGTGCTTTTTATCAAGCTGCAACGATGAGTCAATTAACTGATCTGCAATATTCTGCAATTATTGGAGTATTTGTAAGTATTTTGTCATTTGAAAGAAATGACTGAATATCTTTGGGTTAGAGAGCCGCAGTGACGCGTCCTAAAACCCGGAAGTAAACTCCTTCCGGTTCCTTCGACAAAAAGCAATGCAATCTCTCCGTAGGGTTTAGGAAAACAGCTGGAAATCAGGTCTGTGGTTGAAACACATTGAAGAGACGGATCACGTTTTGTTCAGCCGGATAATCTCCACATGTCATTTTCTAAGCATAAATCTAGTCGCCAGAAGCTAACGTTATGCTATAAAGGAACTACAGCAGGGCTTCAACATCACGCCAACTTCAGATCGATATTCAAAACTACAGATTCTAAATGGTACGAGTTGAAGCGTTTGTTTGAACAGTCTGCAGGAGGCAGGGACTTGCGTTCAAGCAGAACAGGGCAAACTAACTTAGAGCAGTGTTTACGTGTTCGGCGTAATGACGTACAACGGCCTCGACAACTTCTGTAGTCCTATCCAGCCACTTGGTAACAACCATCGTTTTTCAGACACGTCAACTCTTCAGAAATCACCAGTGGGGTCTGATGGATTTAATGTCGTAGAACAAAACGTGATCCGTCTCTTGAATGTGTCTCAACCACAGACCTTGTTTCCTAAACCCTATGGAGAGATCCCATTGCTTTATGTCGAAGGAACGGGAAGTGGTAAAATGCTAACTTACTTCCGGGTGTTAGGACGCGTCACTGTGGCACTCTATATGGGAACTAAAGACATTTAGGCATCATGATGGACTTTTGGAAACGGGGATTGCTGACAGTTGTTGACATTTAAAAGGAAGATTAAGTTCATTTAGAATCAGAGATTTTTAGATATTGAAGTATTTGTTGGTTGCACGCCTACTTTTGAGATGTTTTAACAATATTTTGGGAGCGAGAGATCTATTAGGTTGTGGCCCTTACTAAAGGGAGAGCTGTCTTTTATGTTATTAAAAATGGATGTACAGGAGTTGGACAAAGTAGCGCTTACTCTTACTCCATGTAATAGAATTGTATGATTCTAGATAATAAATATCTCCAGAGAACTGTACAAGTAAATCTAGAAAATACCAAGTAATAACTGTCATGAAATGGACTGTATTGTATCCCATTGCACTTCACTGCAGACCGGCTTAACATGAAATATGCCCCAAGACTTTCAGACCCTTCCCTTTGTCTTATATTATAGCATCCTTTTTATTTTTTTACATCTGTCTCAGATCACACCTGACTACAAGCTGCGTCTTCCCAAGCTTCCTGCTCCCGCTTCAGAGCAGAAGGTGAAGCAGGAGAGCAGAAAGGACGAGGTGACGATGGAGAACTCGAAGCAGCTCTCTGCGTGGAGCCTGTGTCTGCCGGCCTGTCGCATCAGCGAGTCGGTGCAGCAGCTGATGGAGCTCGCTCTCAACACGCTGTGCGAGTCCGTGGGAAGCTCCACCCAATGGTACGTTCAGAGTCTGTCTCCTGTGTTCAAATTCAATTCAAGGTAGTGATGGGAATTACGGCTCTTTGAAGGGAGCCGGGGCGGGGTTAATAGGTTTATCTGCGAAATAATCACCAGGATAATGATTGACTGTATTGCCAGAAATCTACTTATACTCACAGAAAAATGTATAACTTGCTACATCTCCCAGCCAGCCAAACTACTTCCCCATCAGCATGCCATCATCTACGGAACATTTGCATTCAGGAAAGCAAGTTCCCGTAAAGGCGAGTGGATTTATGGCAGGCAGTGAACCAACGATAAAAAGAACGGCTCTCACCAAGTACGACTCGGTTCCCTTCGTTCGTACCAAAGAGCCGTACCAAAGAATCGGATCGTTCGCGACCGTAACATCACTAATTCAAAGGTTTTATTGTCGTGTGGAAATGGCAATGAAATGCTTCTGACCTGAGCTCCTCCAACAAGGCACCATATATAATAAAATACAAAATAAAAAGTAGTGCAAAAAGTCTGCATGTCAATAGAATACGGGATATGTACAAGAACAGAATATGAAATTAAATAATGTAAATTAAGACAAAATTAAATACGGTTTATTGCGGTGATAACTATTTATATAAATTAGTAGCAAGATGACAACAGGAATGTTTATCGGGGCATTTAACAGAGCTCGATGTTTAGCAGTCCTGTGGGATAAAACTGTCTCCTGTAAGAGTCAATGTCTCTGAAAGGGGAAACAATACTCCCTGCCAGTAATGTTTTGTTGTTTTATTATGTCTATTGAACAAGAACCATGCATAAAAAGACATGAATCTCAAAGAGAGTAAATATGCTAAATGCCAGATTTTCGCTAACCCCTAACCCTAACCCTGTTATAGGATCTGTGACCTAAGATTTTCATTGACATATTGACTGTAGCTATGTTCACATGACAATAAAAGCCTTGAAACTTGAAACCTCTGTTCCCTTCAGTGCATTACAGCTCTTCTTCACCGTGAGAAACGTCTTCCAGCTGTTCGACGATGTCGTACCGACATATCACAAGTAAGGATGTCTCCATCATATGATCCTAAAGCAGATCAAACCAACACATTTCTCCTCTAGGTGTCAAATGTTTCCCTCTTTTCTCCCTGCCTCCCCCTCCAGGGAGAACCTGCTGAAGTTCCCCCACCTGGCGGCCATCCAGCACAACAACTGCATGTACCTGGCTCACCACCTGCTGACGCTGGGGCATCACTTCAGAGCTCACCTTCCTCCGCTGATCAGCGAGGGCGTCGCAACTTTTGTTGATATGGTGCCCGGATTCAGGAAACTGGGTAAACAAATATTTCCGGACACTATCGTCCACACATTTATGCTTTTCCACTGCAGGGCCTCGCACGGCTTAGTACGGTGTAGTTAGGCCTCGGTAGGCCAGGCTCACTTTATGCTGCGTTTCCATTACAGTTTAGTAGCTGGGGCAGTAACTATAGTAACGCAGTGTAGGCGGAGCCGTGACGTCATCTTCAATGAGAAACACAAAACCAACACAGCCGTTAGCTGTTAGCCCTCAGAGCTCACAGCTCCTCATATCTGTTCAGAAACTAGACCAAAGTTAAACAAGTACAAACCACAGACTGTCTGTGTCATGGCGAATACAGTCGCTGCTTTATTTATGTCTGTAGGCCGTTGTTGTGAGTGTGGACGGTCGGAGCATATATAACGTTAGCTTAGTCGATCTCCATTCAGAAAACACGCCTGCCGTCTGTCTGCAGACTTGTCAAAGCATTAATTCATGGTTTTTACTAACCGGTATCAGTATGTTGTTACTTCGGCATCATTTTGAAACGTGTGTTACAATTAAATCACGGTCAAATATGTTCATTTTGTTGTAGTTGCCAGCGATTCTCTCACTAGTTGAGCAGGTCTCCCTTGTAAAAGAGTTCAATGATCTCAATGGGATTTATCTGGATAAATAAAGGTTTGAAATGAAATGAAATATTCAGCCCGGTTGTTGGCCCGGAAAGAACCACGATTTTGGAGGGACAGAAAACTGTGAAAAAGTACCCACTAGCCGGAACTACCCCAAGTGGAAACGCAACCAAAAACGGGCCGGGTTTGGCACAGCACGCTTAAACCGGGCTGTAGTGGAAATACGCCAATAGACTCTTATGGCGCTACTTCTATTCTATTTGATTGTATTTACTTGTACTATTTTATCTGTTTTGTTGTGTTGCTCTGTTGGAGCAGCCTGGGACCTGAGAGTTTCATCGACATAACTACACTGTATGTTCACATGACAATAAAAGCCTTGAGCCTTGACATAAGCAATTACAAGTGGAACATAAAAGTTTCCTTGAGGAGAAAAAACAAAACAATCAATTCATCTTTTACTGTAAATTGCAACAAAAAAATTCAAATGTATATATTAATTGTTTGTTGATTTATTATATATCTATATTATTCACCCTTTTGTTCATTCATAATTTTGTCTGCAGTTTAAAATATCAGTTTTGCCATCTCTTTTTATTTGTATTGTTTACTTTTTGATTTTATTTATTTGTATTTATTATTAATATTTGTTTAACTTAAAAAAATATATAATAATATTCTTTACTGCTATAAGTATATCTCCATGTAAAGTTAAATAACTATTTTTGAAACGTTTCTTATTATATTTTCTGTAGTTCCACCATGGAGGCAAAATGTCCACTTCTGCGTACCGTGTGCAAAATGCCTTTAAATCTAATATATGGTCATTCTCCTCCAGGTGCGCAGTGCTTCTTGGCGCAGATGCACGTCCAGAGAGCTGAGCTGTTGGAGAGACTTTCCACCGCTCACAACTTCTGCAACCTGGACGATGAAGACAATTACATCGCCGCCAACAAGGCAGTGAGACAGGTGAGGGAAAAACATTATTCAAATACTGAGTGTGCATAATGACAAATCAGATCGTTCACTATTTGTAATGCATACCATTTTTATGCTTCAATCAAAATAAAACGTTTTGGGGGCCACATGAATGTCTTGGAGCAATGAATGTTATATGCTACACTAATACGGCCAGGATCCGTTGAATTTTCTGAATATTGGGTTGCAGATTAGAGTCTTCCAAAGGGGGGTTCGCTTAGCATGAAACACTTGAAATGACTAAAGGATAAGTTAAAAAAGAAAGCGGAAAGAAAGCGGATACAACCCTTTTCGTTCTCGTGTAAACAGCGCCTCAGTGTCTCCCTCCTGCAGTGATCACGTGTTTTCTTGCCTGCAGGTCATCCATCAGTTGAAGCAGCTGGGCACCGTGTGGCAGGACGTCCTACCAGTGGGCATCTACTGTAAAGCCATGGGGAACCTCCTCAACACGGCCATCACAGAGGTCATCGCCAAAATCATGATGCTGGAGGTTTGTAGCTTTTTTTTAAATTGCACTCTGTCGAACAAACTAATAATAAAGACCAGGTAAAAAAACACAGGGCCGAAGGCAACAAACTCATGGTTCACATTCCCACAGTGTTTTCTGACAGCTGCTTTTGGTTTTGACAAAGGTCACCTATTATGCAAAATTCACTTTTTCATGTCTCTACCGGCCCGTCCACACTACAGCTTCAAAAAAAGCTTGGAGCTGGGCGTGTCTGAAGCTCGACCAACAACCAATCACATGAATCTCCCGCCCCTGACACACAAGCAGCGGTTTGATTGGCTAGAGCTTGTACTGGCATATGATTTGATTGGCTGACGCTTCCACCGAAAGCTTCAGAAGCTTCAAAAGTTGAACATTGCTCAACTTTTGCAGCCTGAAACGCCAGGAAAGCTCCGCTCTGCTTCCCACAATGCAGTTCGGCGAAAAGTGACGTCACCCCATTCAAAGTGAATGGGCAGACGCGTTGGAAACCGTTTTTGAAGCTGTCGAAGCTGTAGTGTGGACGGGCCGTTATACATCAACACGTGTCCCCCTCTGTGTTCAGAGACTCTGAAACTTTTTGTCCTGATCCATTTCTATAAAAACCTGTCTGAAAATGAGCTGATCAGATTTTGGCCACTTTATGATGTCATAACGATGTTTTGTCTTGTGTAACCATTAGCCAATCAGCAACCAAGGTAACCCCCCCCCCCCCTTATCACCTGAATCTCCTCCTAGAGCACCATTGAGCTCTTTGTAACCAAATGTCTCTCAGAGGGGCGTGGGGCGGGGCAGAGAATCAGCACTTTGGAAACAGGGCTGAAACAGAGGGGATTATGGGTAATGCTGCAATGATCTGTTTGGTGTTTCAGCCAATCAGAGACAGGCTCTGTATATATCTGAGACCTGTGATATATTGATGAAAAACAGTATGACAGGAGACCTTTAAAGCAACAGTTCAAAATCTAACATCTACATATTTTTCCCACCTTTCCACCAAACGGCTTGAGCTCTGCTTCTCTTCAATTAGTTGATGAATGTTTCCTTCCCTTGAAGCAGTAGAAAGAAATGTATTCCTACAATAAACTCTTAACAACAAAGTCTGTGGACGATCTTCAGTAACCAGGTCATGATTTCTGGAAAGTTGCACGTCTGTTGAGTTTTATTTCTCACTAACAGGATATTTCCTCTGAGGACGGGGAGCACCTCCACACTTTGTGCCAACCCCTCATCGAGGAAGGGCCGCTCGTCTTCATCCCTCTGGCGGAGGAGAACAAGAACAGGAAGTATCAGGAGGAAGTGCCGCTCTACGTCAGGAAGTGGAGCACCTTCAAGGAGCTGGTCATCGTGCTCCGGGCAAGCCTGCAGGAGATAGTCGACAGGTGAGCTAACATCACGGCATAGTTTATAAATGGATTATAATATAAAGTAAACAAAGGTTAAGCCTGCAGTATGTGCCTCATCAATGAGTATGTTCTGGCTTGAACTAGGGCTGAGCGATTCATCGATTTTAAATCAATTATCAAATCGCAAAGCCTGTAGGTTTTTTTTTTGTTCTTCTTGTGTGTCAGTCATCCACACCAATCAGAAGTGCTCCACATGTACCAGTCATTGTTAACCAATCAGAAGTGCTCCACATGTACCAGTCATTGTTAACCAATCAGAAGTGCTCCACATGTACCAGTCATTGTTAACCAATCAGAAGTGCTCCACATGTACCAGTCATTGTTAACCAATCAGAAGTGCTCCACATGTACCAGTCATTGTTAACCAATCAGAAGTGCTCCACATGTACCAGTCATTGTTAACCAATCAGAAGTGGCCCATGATAGAAGGTGATAGACATTCCATTTGGAAAATAAATACTTTTCCAAATGGCTTCCAGTGGAGCTTTCGTAGATGGTTTGGTGAAACAAAGCATCTGAGTCAGGTTAGTAATGCTCCATCACATGTTCTATTACAGGGTGAGTCTTAAACTGAAGCTTGACTTTAAAGCAACGGAAGTTTCATGTAAGTTTAGTTCTTTCACTCGTAGCTCGGGCTGCGGGGGTGCTAGAGACGGGAGCACGTTGATACGACCTTCCTAGCCGGAGATATGGCCGCTAGTGATGGGAATTATGGCTCTTTGAAGGGAGCCGGATCTTATGGCTCCGTTCCTTTCAAAGAGCCGTTCAAAAGAGCCGTTTTTTTTAAAGGGGGCGGGGTTACTAGGTTTATCTGCGAAATAATCACCAGGATAATGATTGACTGTATTGCCAGACCTAATGTCAATAATCGGCATTGTAAACATGACACAAGGTGGCGCCATATCCATGTCTTCATGTCAGTGAATGCACTTTGAATTGACCCTCTGCATGTGTTCAGTAAATAAAGTTGCCTTGAATGAAATTGACGCAACTCTTAATATTAGATACTGTGTTTTTAAGTGGCGATGGAGATGATTTGTTGACCCTGCTTTAAAGGATATTTTGCCTTTACAAATGGTGCGCTTTATCACTGCCTGGGTTTTGGTTGAAGTGCATCCAAATGCTGCTGCGTTTTTGCGTTTGGCTAATTTTCAATCTGAAAAACACGTCGTCTGTCTGTCCTGTACCACTTGTTATGACTTCTCTCTCTCGCGTATTCCCTTAACACCCACCCCATCTCACTCCTCGTGCTGAAACCTACCAATCAGAGTAGGGGCGGGTCTTCACAGAATACCTTTGGGGAACAAAATCAAGCTTTTTAAAAGGCGAGTGGATTTTGGCAGGCAGTGAGTGCGGACCAACGACTGAACGATAAAAAGAACGGCTCTTTGGTACGACTCGGTTCCCCTCGTTCGTACCAAAGAGCCGTTCAAAAGAATCGGCTCGTTCGAGACCGACACAACACTAATGGCCGCATTTTACAATAAACTTCAGTTGGGTCGCTTAAAAAAATATATATAATATAATAATAATATAATCGCAATATCTGTCAGAAAAATCGCAATTAGATTATTTCCCAAAATCGTGCAGCCCTAGCTTGAACATAAAGAAGCTGTTGGGAACAGTTTGCCTTTTTAAAGAGTGATTGTTTATTTTAATTATATGGCTATCATTTTTTTTATATACGGTTAAGGTTAGTTCATCTATATAGCACATTTTAGAAACAAAGGCAACGTGCTTTACATAAGCATTAAAACCGTGAATAAATAAATAAATAAAACTAAACTAAAAAAGAGAATATATAAATATTTAAGAATTTAATTCACAATTCGACGATTAGGTTGTTTTGGGCAAAGGTTTCTTTATTAAACGTTTCAATGCTTTGTTCATTTTGAAGGACTTAAAAGTCACCTCTGATCACAGTTATGGTAAAGATAAGATTTCAAATGGTGGTTTTTCCTGATTCTTTGTAGAGAAACTATTTTTTTGTTGCACATCTGTCGATAATATGAACTCATTAATTAGTCGACATAATCATGAGCTGTTTTTTCGTGCACCTATAGTATTTAAAGGACTTTTAAAAGTGGATTGAAGACTTACATTTTAACAAAGCCTTCGGTTAGAGCTCGTATTTTATGGTATTCATTTTATTTTAATAATTTGAACGTTTTATGTATTTTGATTGTCTTTTGTTGTTATCTTAATTTATTTTGTATTTCTATTACATACACTATCTTGTCTTTTCATTTAGCTGTAACTCCATCATTTACAATGTTGTTATTTGTTTTGAATCTGTAAAACCCACTGAGACAAACGTGTGTTGTGATATTGGGCTATACAAATAAAGATTGATTTCATTCATCCTTCTTATGTCCATGGATGTGTGCGACTGGCTGATTTGTCTTCTCCTCTCCTCAGGTGGGCTGACCGTAAAGGTCCGCTGGCGGTGGAGTTCTCCAGCTCGGAGGTGAAGAACCTGATCCGGGCCTTGTTTCAGAACACGGAGAGGAGAGCTGTGGCTCTGACCAAAATCAAATAGAAACCTGGCGAGAAAAGAAAAATACTACTGCACTTTTTCCCGCTGAGGAAAATACGACCCATGCCTTTATTCTGTTTTGTTAAATGTATGCATTTCCATGTGTGTAAGTGTGTAGCAGAGCGATTTAATCTGGTTGTAATCAATCTGGAGGATATGTTCCTTCTCAATTAGTCCTGCAGAGATTACACAGAGGCTTCTTCCCATCCTGTCATATAGCTTTAAGGAGTTATACCACAAAGCCAACTGAGGTTGTGTAACAGCGGCCTGCCATCTGTCGACATGATGTCCTACCCAGGGTTAACTTCGCTGCACATTGTTAATCAAACTTCTTCTGGAGCTTCTCTCAGCTTTTCTTTATTGAGGACATTTCCGGGGAGAGAGTTTGTTTGAACCTATAAACGCCTCAAAATGACCGTTTATTTCTGACCTTGCATCTCTCGACGAGGATTTAATTGTCCAAGCCTCTGAACTGAACTCTAACATTATGTATTTATTACGTGTCCAAAATAAACCAAAACATTCAACTTTTCAGAAAATGTTTGTTCTGTGTGTTTTTGATGATTATTATAGGGTGTCCGCGGGGTCCTAAAAAGCATTACAAGTTGATAAATCAATTTTGTGAAAATGAAGGCTATTAAAAAGTATTACAAAGTATTAATGGGCATTTTCCAAGGGACATTGCACATTCATGAACACTTAAAAGGTGGGGTAGGTAAGAATGGAGAAACCAGCTCGAGTGCGCTAGAATTTGAAAATACACAACCGGAAAAATCTGCCCCTTCCTTCAGACTTCCTTACAGAGCCCCTCCTCCAACACACATGAACGCGCACATGACCAATGAGGGCACGAGATAAGTTTGTGCCCAGATGGAAGGCTGACAGGCAGGTAGGCCATCCAGTTACTTTAGCCGGGCCGGCTCAGATGATTGGTCGTGCTTTTTACAGCGCCACGGCTTCCACAGATGATATTTTGTTATGGATTTGTTGTCAAAGCATTTCATGTATTCATTGCTATCGGGATGTTAAGAGCATTCCATGGAATATAACAAGTGTTTCTGAAGTGAATTACCTTCCCCATCTTTAAAACATGAAATGTGCCAAGTGTAAATATGCCAGATTTAGCTTTGAGCTACTTTCCATCCGCAGTCCCTCACATAAAACAATAAGAAAATGAAAATTACAAACATAGCAGTACAAATACATAACAAGCAAGAAAGAGTAGAATACCCAAGTATTTAGGACATGGTGAGAACTAACAGCAGCAACACACTAATATGGTTTGAAGAAATTGAAATAAGATAAAATGGGAGAGACATTCAGAGACAATAACGCAATATAAGCACAATTAAATAAACAAGAAGAATAAAAGGTTTTAAATCATACAAAATCTCACACTGCCTGTGCTGCAGCACCTCTTTTCACCCTCTGTTTGAAACCAGAGCCCAGTCTGCTCTGATTGGTTAGCTGGCCGGCTCTGTTGTGATTGGTCAACAGTTTAGAGATGTCCCGCCCCTTAGCCTATCACGTACAATGTGTTGGTGCGCTCGCGGACCATTTACATGCACAAAAACCTACATAACGCAGGAAAGGGAAAACACAAAAAGCATAATAGGGCATCTTTTAATTAAATATCTTTTTAGTACACATCACAATAGTAATATCAATGATTGTCACATTATCTGTGAAGCAGAAGCAGCCACAACATGCAGTTATTTGTGCTGTAAATGATGCCGAGGGGAGGAGCCAAACAGCTGTCCAGGCACCGCCTCTTTTACTCCACCTCTCCTCCTCCATCTGATCAAACCTGATGACTCCAACAAGGAGGATACGTTCTGCCATCATCTGTGTTCATGTGACGGGATGCTCTACAGAGGTATGTCATTCTTTCTCTTTTTGTTATGACAATCTATCACTGTTTTTGTTGAAGTTTCCTATTCATGTCCTGCTTCATGGTAAAATACATAAATACGAGAGGTGGGAGAAGTACTGAGATCTTGTACTTAAGTAAAAGTAGAAGTACCAGAGTGTAGGAATACTCTGTTACAGTAAAAGTCCTGCAATCAAAATGTTACTCAAGTAAAAGTAGAAAAGTATTATCATCAAAATATAGTGAAAGTAGCGACAGAAAAAGTAGTCGTTGTGCAGATTGCTCCATTTCAGAATAATATATATGATATGTTTTATAATGATTGATCATGAAAGTGTTCTCAAAGCTGGTGAAGGTAGTTTGAATGACTTTGTATACTGCAGGGTAGCTGGTGGATTTACTCCAGGTGGAACTAAAGTCTGATTTAACACTTGATTAGATTTCACATCATTCATCCACATCTGTAAAGAAACTAAAGGTATTAAATACATGTAGTGGAGGAAAAGTACAAAGTAGCATAACATTGAAATACTCAAATAAAGTACAAGTATTTTAAAATTGAATTTAAGTACAGAGTAAAGGTACGTCACTTCCTACCTTAATACATTTGACTATGCTACTTCATGGATGTATACTCCATATGTAAGGAGGTACAACATGAAACAAATCGCAGCACCTGTAAATAAACTAGAAGATCAAAACAAAACGGAAACACTGAGATCAAGAATACTATATTGTATCTTCTCTGCTTGTTATGGAGGATACATTACCTCGCAGTAAAAGGCTGTGCTTCTGATTGGCTACCGTGACATCTGCACCTCACAAAGACTTCACACTTTTTTTGTGTGTGTGTGTGTGTGTGTGTGTTTATTATTGTTGATATACAATAATCACTAGCACAAGGGAATGTAGCAGAGTTTACTTGGCCACATCTGGACAATACTTTCTTTAAGCCTTCTGCTGAATACAGGCGGTAATCTCTTTAAATCCACTCAGTTCTTTAGTGTTTCTCCGATTAATATTGAGGATTAGTGATAATCGTTACATGTCAAACTAACTGAAGCAGTGACTGTTTAGCACACTTAAGACTGATGAAAGCTCATGTCATGATAAAGAGGAGAAAACGCAACAAAACAAGTCCTTTAGAAAAGCTTATTACTGCATTTTACTTGCACGATTTTTTCACTTGCACTATTTTATTTCATTTAAATCTTAAGGTGCCTATATTGCATGTAGCATTTTTGGGAAACATCAACAATGAACCTACATTCACTGCCATTAAGGCTCATACACACGAAATGTGATTGACTTAAAGGTCCCATGTCATGCTTTTCCGGTTATCACCCGTCCCCTTGTGTCATGAAGGTTTTTCTGCATGTAAACGGTCTGCAGAGTCACAAACCCTCAAAGTGCACCCTGTAGCGAGTAAAACTCTAACACAGAGAAGACCTGTCTCTGCTGCCTCAAAACGCCTGGTTGGAGATTTCTCATTTTCCATTGTTTACTTCTTGGGTATAGTGACGTAACGTAACGGCTCGGTCCAAATGGACCAATCAGCGGAGCCGTTACGTTGCTGCGAGGAGCGGGACACTGTGAGCTGGCTCACTGGTGTGGGGTCGGCAAGACAGCGAGACACCGCGGTACTCAGCCTGAGCACACACACAAACTCCCAGCCAGGCTGCGGGTGTGTGTGTGTTTCGGGCTGGGTTTCGCTGTGTCTTGCTGTCTTGCAGACGGCCACTGGGCTCACAGGGAGGGGGGGGGGCAGGAGCTCCAACAAGCCGTGTAGGACAGAGAGTGAATACACACACTATACAGAGATGCTGTATGAGAAACCAATGTGAGTTTGGAACATTGCACAATATAAATCTATTCTAGTAGACCTCAACAATGGAAATATGATCAGTAGAAATGGCCATGACATGGGACCTTTAAGATTGCATTTCCTACAACGCAGGAGCTGCTGAAGACAAGACAATAAAGACTTTAATCTTTGCAACAGGGGCACAACCTGAGGGTAATCAGCGATGCTCTCCACGGTGATGTGCAGCAGAGAGACGTTACCCAGCTTTGAGTTCAACAGTCGAAGAAGAAGCCCTGTTAGGATCGAGCCACGCAGGAACACCATCCCCGCAACGCAGACCCTCACTGCTAAACATCTGCTGGCATACCTTCCCCGACCTCAGTCAGAAACCATCCGCTACACCCCTTACTCACACAAGGTAAAGCTTTCTTTGTTGTCCTATATTCCAGAAATGTGTTTTTGTTACTTCACTTTGAGCTTCTTACATTACATGTCACTTGTTGTTAGTCGCTTTCACACAAACATACTTAGTAGGCTACTGTGGGCATTCCTACAGGAGCAATTTGGGTCGAAGTGTCTTTTCCAAGGACACAAGGACATGCTGACTGCAGTGGGGATTGAGCCAGTGCTTCCCTGATGGTGGTTATCAAAAAATACATGAACAAAATAGTACTTAATGGAGCATTTTTCTGGTAGTAAGTGAACAAATCAATCCGGATCCATCCCCACTGTTAATAATTCACAAACCTCAAATTGTGTGCGCTCTTGCTGGCCTCCTGTTTCTGGCAGTAAAGCCACATCACCAGTATCCAGAGCCACGTTTGTAAGGAGTGTTTATAATTGGAGAGCCTTTGACTCAACCTCTCAATCTTTACTGTCTTTTTACTTTTGCATTTTGTGAATATTGTACTTTTTCCCCCCTTTTAGGATACAGATAAATCCTCTGTTGCCGCCATGATAACCACAAAAAGAGCTTCTCTCATCCACAACTTGAACTATGCAAAGTGCTCATCACTCCCCCCATCTCGTGAGGCTTCTCCCTCCTTGAGCCCCTGCAGCCAGTCCTCCCATGCCCTCGCTTACTCTGAGCAAGAGCCCCCACAAACAAAAATGATCCAAGCAGTTCCTCTGGAGCCAGTGGAGGAAGAAGAAGAGAGGCCCGAGCCTCACCGTTGGCATCGCAGCCGACACCTCAAGCGCTTCAGCTCCAGGTGGCAATCCAGAAGCTCCGCTGGCAGCAGAGACTTTCCCGTGTCTGCCATCGAGAAGCTGAATGTCGCGAGGAGTCACAAGAAGCGCTGTAAGCTTCTCGGGGACGACCACTCTTCACATGTCACCGTCAGCAATCAGCGGCAGCGTTATGTCACCAAGGATGGAAAGTGCCAGGTCACCCAAGGACGTATTATAGAAAAGAGTCGGTTTATCTCTGATATCTTCACCACATTGGTGGACCTCAAGTTCTGCTGGTTCCTCCTCGTCTTCACTATGTGCTACATTCTCACATGGGTGGCCTTTGGGGCGATCTACCACTTTGGTGCCTGGTTGCGTGACGATATTGCACATGTTAATGACCCCGAATGGAAAGCGTGCTTCCAAAATGTAGACACTTTCCTTTCAGCCTTGCTGCTGTCAATAGAAAGCCAGAGGACTATTGGATACGGCTCCAGGATGGTGACGGCCCACTGCCCCGAGGGCGCGGTGCTCCTGATGGTGCAGTCCATCCTCGGCTCCATCATCGACGCCCTGATGGTGGGCTGCATGTTCGTTAAAATCTCCCGGCCCCAGCAGAGAGCGCAGACTCTGATCTTCAGCAAGCACTGCGTCATATGTGAGCGAGACGAGGAGTTGTGCTTGCTCTTCCGCATCGGGGATCTGAGGGCGAGCCACATGGTGGACGCCAAGATCCGCGCAAAGCTCATCAAGTCCAGGCAGACCAAGGAGGGAGAGTTCATCCCACTGGAGCAGTCGGAAATCAATCTGGGCTACGACACCGGGGGGGACCGGCTGCTGCTGGTGGAGCCGCAGACCATCACACACTTCATCAATGAAAACAGCCCCTTCTGGGAGGTGGGAGCGGAGCGGCTGAAGAGGGAGAGCTTTGAGATCATCGTAATCCTGGAGGGCATCGTGGAAGCATCCGGTGTGTTTTTAAACAGTGTGCTGTCTTACAACTAGTAGTGTCCATAGAATCACAGCTACATTTGAAAAGTGCATTTTCCGTTGTCCCAAAAGGTAGATAGATACTTTATTGATCCCAATTTGGGAAATTATTTTGTTACAGAAGAAGTTCAGTGTGTTCAGACATAAAATAAAAAATACTTTAAAAGAGTAACAGAGAATTTACAACTACAAATTAAAAGTAAATATAAAATGAGACATATTATATCAAATATAAACAATATAGAAAGAAGAACTAAATTGTGCATATATGTGGTAATACCATGCTACTCTGATCACTTACACTAAAAGTAATTCCGACCTTTTACCATTACTTAATTTGATGCATGGTTGCAAGATAAAAATGTAAATGTCATTTTTACGAGTTGTGTCATACATAATTATTCTGATAATATCATCAATTTAATATCGTGTGCAACTTCAACTCATATTTCTGCGTCAATTGATTTGAAATGAAATACATGTTGTACTAACTTAAAATATGGTAGTTATGTTTGACACATTCACATTGAGTGAAGTATCCTCAATATTGCTTTTGAACCCGTTGATAATGCTCACTTTATGAAAGTAAAATGTGTGTTTTTGGAAAGTTTAGTTTTTCTAATCAACCCTAAGAAACAAGACCAAAGAGTGTTCCTGAAAAAGCTTGGTTTAAATTGGTCGAAATGTCTGCAAAATGTGGATAGTACGCCAAAAAAGAGCAAAAAACATATATACATTAGTGGACATATTCTTGTTTGAACATAACCTTATACAGCACATGTGTCCCGATACAAATGAAGAATTTGAATGTCATGTTTTTTGCCTAATAAAGTAATATTTACCTCATCCACTAATGCTTTTTTGTGTTGCAGGTATGACGTGCCAGGCGAGGACGTCCTACACCGAGGACGAGGTCCTCTGGGGACACAGATTTGAGTCCTGCATTTCTTTGGAGAAAGGGGGTTTCCGTGTGGACTACAGCGCATTCAATAAAACCTTTGAGGTCCAAATGTCCCAACTCAGCTCAAAAGACAGCAGCACTAAAAAGGAAAAATAAATCGTATTTTAGAAATGTTAGCTAAATAAACAGTTCTTGTTTATGTACAATAATATTGCTTTTATTAAGTTACTAAGGCCAGCCATAATTACTGTTTTTCTGTTGTATATTTATTAGATAAAATCTCAGTTTTTATTTTAATATATCATTTATGTTAACAATTGTGTTTCGTTTTGTGTTGAAAAAAATAATAAACATATTGCCGTTGGCTGCGGTCATTTATGGGTATTTGAAAAACTAGTGTGGAAAAATAAACCTTAGCACCAAATATTTACAAGCTTGTTTTTATTCCCATTATCACCAGAAAGTTTGAATCCACAGGCTTCATAAAGTATACAAAAAACACCCTTATATCTAAGAGTGGTTCCTGTCAGTGTTTTGTTACAACATATTTGATTATATAATTATCATTACTGCGCATTAGCATTTTATTGTCTGACCTGGTTGTAGGCTACTGGAGCTAATTTCATATTTATTCATTGATTTTATCAAAAGATTTGCTTGATCGTGAATTATTTTCCATTTCAATAAAGTGGCGCGGAAGTAGAATAGCATTAAATGGCAATAGGTGTTTATATATATATCTATGGTTCAACTTACCCACTGGCTCAACTTACCCCCTTCTCCCCATATATTTAGTTTTACATTGTAATGCAAAACACCCTGTTCCTTTAATTCAGTGCTTTAAAATACATGTTGTAGTTTCCTTTCAGTTAAAATCTTTGAAGTAAGCTTGGGGGACACAAAGGACACCCGATTCAGAATCACCCTTCAACTGTTTATCTTATTCTCTTAGCTAACTACTCTGACTGTGTATCCCTTACTTTAAGCTAACGTGTTGTTGTTTATTATATATGGCTATTGCAACCTGTTTGACCTGGCAGGACTGATGTTAAAGCATCTGAAACTGAAGGTAGTTCAATGATTTAGACTTTTGATAAATAACCTTTTTTGTCCTTGTGGATTTTTTAATCACGTATTGCTTGTACTCGTTGGCTTTGAGTTGTTGATTTTTAATGTTGTCCTGTAGGATAGTATCTCTAAATTCTATAAAGATGACTAAATATAAAAAAAATACATTAGGGGCGATATCGACTCCAGGCCGGTAAATGGCGCTGATGCCCAAACCGCCGAAGGCCCCAAAACCCGAAGAAGAAGAGCCGCGTCCGAAGAGAGCATGACGGGATATGAAAGTCCTCCGGCGGCGCGCTGCCGCCATGTCACCGAGAGAGAAACATATAGCTATTATCTCTGTTTTAGGCGTAGTTAGTCTTGCTCTTTATTATATTCCTAATTTTCTTTGGGTGACTTTATTTCTTTCAGTGTGTTGTATTGTGTGTTTCTATCAAAGCGGAGAACCGCTTCCCGCCAGGTTAGGCCTCAATCCTCGGGCTCGCCTGAGAGTTCCAGCCGTGCTCCAGCGCTGGTTTTGGGGCTGGGTATCAACCGGCGTGTCGGTGGCCGCTCGGGGGAAAACGAAGAGCGGCAGAAACAAAACTGAGCACCGGTCCTTTGAGGGACACTTCAGAGAAAGGCCCGTTGAAGCTGGGATTTATAGGAGGGATACTTTGCACACTGAGTCGTTTCTTTTCAGTCCTCGGGATTTCCTCATGGGGAGTTACATCGGAAAACCCGAAAGTCCAACTCCCGACTCCGGGAGGCCAAGAGCCGGGAGAAACCCCCGAGAGCAGCTCCGTGAGAGACTGGCCAGACCCAACCATGCTGTCTACACGCCGAACAGGAGGCTCTCATTTGCCGGGTACGTTGATGGCCAAACAACGCTGCATCATACGCAGCTCTCAGCCAGGAGACGGTTCAATTTCTTGGCGGGGTTTTAACGTTAATTACTAACTCTTAAGCCGTTGGATAAATGACCATTGACACATTTAAAACAGGCAGCAAAGAATAAGGTAGCCGCTTTTTGAGAGATATTTGACTCAGACAAACACACATTATCAAAGCAGACACAGTTATAAAATGTCAAGGACTCCTATAGTCAATCCAATATTACTCTTTTTAGTCACTTGAATATATTTTGTGTTACCCAGTGAAGCATTACCTTGTTCTCTTTAATCAGAAATTGCATATGCCATTATAAGTGTGCCTGTATTTGGTATAATGATCCATAAGCCTGTTGCTGGAGAAAAACACATTGAGTCACGCAAACTGATCATTTACACACAACCCCATAATTAAACTAAGCTGCAATGTACTGTGTTTCGGTCCAAAGCCTTCCCTCCTCAAACCTTAGAGAACAAATCTAATTGAACTTATTTTTTTTTAGAAGTTATCCAGCATCATATTTTAGCTTTAAACTTTTTTCGGTGTAGTGATGGAATATTTACTGAATGCACAAACAGGGCTTTCATCCAATATGTTCATAGACTAACATAACCTGACATAGGAAGCAATAGTGGAGAGGAAAGGCACATGTTAAAGTTATAATGTGAGGAGATGGTTCATTTAAATGTGGATTCCAGCACAGGCAAACGTTGTATATTTCATGGCAGACAGCAGACCACAATAATATAGTTGAAGATTCTACCAGTGGCTGGATTATAAAAAACAAGTTTGGACTTTTCCCCATAGGCTTCACCAGAGATGGCAAAAGTACACACATCCTTTACTCAAGCAGAAGTACAGATAGTCGTGTTTAAAAATACTCTGGTGAAAGTAGAAGTACTGACTAAACTTCTTTACTCAAGTAAAAGTAAAGAAGTTTTTGGGCTTCGAAAAAGTACTCATAACTAGCAGCTGCTTTAAAGAGTACCTGACCTCCCTTTATATTAATAGAACAATAATGTCATTGTTAGCTAATGAATGTTTCCATGCTGAACAACGGCAACATGACAACGTTTCCATTGGTCCCTCTTCTTTAGAGAAGACCAGGAAATGATGGATACACGGATCGTGTTCAAATCAATAGGCACGCAATGACTCTAAAGAATAATGATCACGCACCAAACACACATTCAGACTAAAGGAACCAGCTGTTTGGAGAATGAGAGAAGTAGAAAGTACAGGTATTTGAGTTCAACATGTAAGAAGTAGAAAGTACAGGTATTTGAGTTCAACATGTAAGAAGTAGAAAGTACAGGTATTTGAGTTCAACATGTAAGAAGTAGAAAGTTCAGGTATTTGAGTTCAACATGTAAGAAGTAGAAAGTTCAGGTATTTGAGTTCAACATGTAAGAAGTAGAAAGTACAGGTATTTGAGTTCAACATGTAAGAAGTAGAAAGTACAGGTATTTGAGTTCAACATGTAAGAAGTAGAAAGTACAGGTATTTGAGTTCAACATGTAAGAAGTAGAAAGTACAGGTATTTGTGTTCAACATGTAAGAAGTAGAAAGTACAGGTATTTGTGTTCAACATGTAAGAAGTAGAAAGTACAGGTATTTGTGTTCAACATGTAAGAAGTAGAAAGTACAGGTATTTGGGTTCAACATGTAAGAAGTAGAAAGTACAGGTATTTGAGTTCAACATGTAAGAAGTAGAAAGTACAGGTATTTGTGTTCAACATGTAAGAAGTAGAAAGTACAGGTATTTGAGTTCAACATGTAAGAAGTAGAAAGTTCAGGTATTTGAGTTCAACATGTGAGAAGTAGAAAGTACAGGTATTTGTGTTCAACATGTAAGAAGTAGAAAGTTCAGGTATTTGAGTTCAACATGTAAGAAGTAGAAAGTTCAGGTATTTGAGTTCAACATGTGAGAAGTAGAAAGTACAGGTATTTGTGTTCAACATGTAAGAAGTAGAAAGTACAGGTATTTGAGTTCAACATGTAAGAAGTAGAAAGTACAGGTATTTGTGTTCAACATGTAAGAAGTAGAAAGTACAGGTATTTGAGTTCAACATGTAAGAAGTAGAAAGTACAGGTATTAGTGTTCAGCATGTAAGAAGTAGAAAGTACAGGTATTTGAGTTCAACATGTAAGAAGTAGAAAGTACAGGTATTTGAGTTCAACATGTGAGAAGTAGAAAGTACAGGTATTTGAGTTCAACATGTAAGAAGTAGAAAGTACAGGTATTTGGGTTCAACATGTAAGAAGTAGAAAGTACAGGTATTTGAGTTCAACATGTGAGAAGTAGAAAGTACAGGTATTTGAGTTCAACATGTGAGAAGTAGAAAGTACAGGTATTTGTGTTCAACATGTAAGAAGTAGAAAGTACAGGTATTTGTGTTCAACATGTAACAAGTAGAAAGTACAGGTATTTGTGTTCAACATGTAAGAAGTAGAAAGTACAGGTATTTGAGTTCAACATGTAAGAAGTAGAAAGTACAGGTATTTGAGTTCAACATGTAAGAAGTAGAAAGTACAGGTATTTGTGTTCAACATGTAAGAAGTAGAAAGTACAGGTATTTGAGTTCAACATGTAAGAAGTAGAAAGTACAGGTATTTGAGTTCAACATGTAAGAAGTAGAAAGTACAGGTATTTGAGTTCAACATGTAAGAAGTAGAAAGTACAGGTATTTGAGTTCAACATGTAAGAAGTAGAAAGTACAGGTATTTGTGTTCAACATGTAAGAAGTAGAAAGTACAGGTATTAGTGTTCAACATGTAAGAAGTAGAAAGTACAGGTATTAGTGTTCAACATGTAAGAAGTAGAAAGTACAGGTATTTGTGTTCAACATGTAGGAAGTAGAAAGTACAGGTATTTGGGTTCAACATGTAAGAAGTAGAAAGTACAGGTATTTGGGTTCAACATGTGAGAAGTAGAAAGTACAGGTATTAGTGTTCAACATGTAAGAAGTAGAAAGTACAGGTATTTGTGTTCAACATGTAAGAAGTAGAAAGTACAGGTATTTGAGTTCAACATGAGAGAAGTAGAAAGTACAGGTATTTGTGTTCAACATGTAAGAAGTAGAAAGTACAGGTATTTGTGTTCAACATGTAAGAAGTAGAAAGTACAGGTATTTGTGTTCAACATGTAAGAAGTAGAAAGTACAGGTATTTGTGTTCAACATGTAAGAAGTAGAAAGTACAGGTATTTGAGTTCAACATGAGAGAAGTAGAAAGTACAGGTATTTGTGTTCAACATGTAAGAAGTAGAAAGTACAGGTATTTGTGTTCAACATGTGAGAAGTAGAAAGTACAGGTATTTGTGTTCAACATGTAAGAAGTAGAAAGTACAGGTATTTGTGTTCAACATGTAAGAAGTAGAAAGTACAGGTATTTGTGTTCAACATGTGAGAAGTAGAAAGTATAGGTATTTGTGTTCAACATGTAAGAAGTAGAAAGTACAGGTATTTGTGTTCAACATGTAAGAAGTAGAAAGTACAGGTATTTGTGTTCAACATGTGAGAAGTAGAAAGTATAGGTATTTGTGTTCAACATGTAAGAAGTAGAAAGTTCAGGTATTTGGGTTCAACATGTAAGAAGTCAAAGTAAAAAGTCGTCAGAAAAAGAAGTAGTGGAGTAAAGTACTGATACCAGAAAAATGTTCTTAAGTACAGTAACAAAGTATTTGTACTCCACTACTTCCCACCTCTGGGCTTCACAACTGAATCACAGTAATAGACAGAGAGCTAAAGTCACAGTTGATGCTCTGGGAGATGTAGATATGTGTTGTAATTTAAACATTTGTTTCCCCTCAGGGAGCCGCCGTGCACAGCGGGCAGATTCACCATCACCCCCCAGCGTCATTACCCCCTGCAGCAGCCCGGGGTCTCACAAGTGGGAGTCCTACCTCCTGTGAAGTGGGACAGCTTCAGGAAGAAAAACATCCTCAGCCCTCGTAACTGTTCTGCTGTCCTCAGCCCCGTCACCATCAAGATCGCCAGGCCGGACCACCTCAGCTCCCCCAGGTCTCTACGCTCACGCCAATAATCAGTCTGTTTATCATACCAGGGTTATTATGGGTTTGTCCATTTTCTTACAAAAAACGCCACATACTTTGTACTTCATATTACCGTGTATCATCTTCAAAGTGTGCTTTCAGAACATGTTACACATTTACATATCTTGTAACTCGTGTAACTGCGTCATGATTTCTGGAAAGGGACATTGCTCAGAAGTTGTTTTTATCTAGTTTAACTATAATAGAGAAAGGGCAGACATCTCTAACGGCCCGTCCACACAGCGGCGTGCGTTGAAGCTTCCAACGCTTCTGCCCATTCACTTTGAATGGGGTGACGTCACTTTTAGCCGAACTGCATCGTGGGAAGCGACGCGGAGCGTTGCTGGCGTGGCTCGCTGCAAAAGTTGAGCAATGTTCAACTTTTGACACCTCGGCAGAAGCGTCAGCCAATCGAATCATATGCCAGTACAAGCTCTAGCCAATCAAACCGCTGCTTATGTGTCAGGGGCGGGAGATTCATGTGATTGGTTGTTGGTCGAGCGTCAGACACGCCCGCCGGCAAGCGTCAACGCACGCTGCTGTGTGGACGCGCAGTAATGCTGATATCTAACACAGCAAGAGGACTACTATGTATTTTAGATTTTAAGATGAAATGTCTCATTTTAAGATAAAACAGTTTGATGACAATTAAAGTATGAAGCAACTGGTGATTATTTGTGCCACAACAGTGATGGTGTGTTATCGCACTCCATTATATGGGTAGGTATCTCTAAGTCCAGTGGTTTGTAAACTGACTGATAACACTGACCATAGTTTCAATTCTAACTTTCTTTTTGTTTTTAGTTTTGACCATCTGAGTTGTGCGGGGCTCCCCAGGGTGCCTGTGGACCCCTGCTCCAGAGAAAGTGTCCTCAAGGTCTTGAAGGAAAGCCGCAAGAGAGTAGTTGAGGATGAGGACGGAAGCGTCACAGCCGAGCAGAAAAGCAAAAGAAGGTACGCAGAATTCACTGGCACTCATTACCTCCTTACAATATAAGAAATGTTAGTCTGGTGAGCAAGGCTACCAAAAAGTAGCCTGCCAACGGCTGTCTGTATTCCTCATGACCCTCACTAGAGAGAATCTCCCGTATTGCATGCATGGATGAGTCAATGAATATCCAGCAAACTGTTTTACATAAAAAGCTATTTCTGTGTGAACATTTGTCGATATCTCAAGATTTAGAAGAACACGTGCTTCTCAGGACCTGGTTTACACAGATAGTCAGTTGAAGTGTGTTTGTTTGTAATCCATTTGATTTCCCCAAAGGCGTAATGACAGCAATGGGAGCGGACAATCTGCGTTTGAGCCTCTCCTGCCCAACGGGACACCATCACTGCTGGTCCCTAAGTAAGTTTGACTTTCTGAAGTGACACTTTACTGTCAAATCTCGTCATCTCTGAGGTCTATTGACTGCGTATTTGATGCTGTGAAGTAGGGCTGCTCGATTATGGCAAAAATCATAATCTCGATTTATTTGGGTCAATAATTGACATCACGATTATTAAAAATGATTATCCATTTACTTTGAAAAGATCCATTTATTGAAAAGAAAAATGTCAACAGTATGTTTTTAACAGTTGATTACCCTGAACTCTAAGTATAATTCAACTGAAAAACCAATAAATAAATAATCGTTTTATTTCGATTATGTTGTTTTCATAATCGTTGCAAGCCAAAATCGTAATTGCGATTAAAATACGATTAATTGTTCAACCCTATCTCTGAGGTCTATTGACTGCGTATTTGATGCTGTGAAGTATATTGTAACTGTCTAAACAAATGCTTCCTTCCTTCCTGCCTTCAGGCCAGGAAGCCTGAAAAGAGGGATGACCTCTCTTGCAGAGGATGCCCTCATGAAGAGATCTCGCACCTCCTCCATCAGCTCCGGCAGCGGGGTCCACACCCCCAGAGGAACCCCCGGCAGCAGGAGGAACCCTATCCAGAGCTCCTACAGCTCTTCAAAGGGCCTCAGCCAGGTAGCACCTATCAGCTAAATGACAGTGCACATATCCCTGCAATGACCTAAAGCTTATTTGTTAAGATGTATTCATGTTTTCCTTCGTAGTGGAAGAAGCGGTCAGCACCCAGCTCCCCTCTCTCCAGCCCCGGGTCATCTCGCTCTCAGACCCCAGAGGCAGCCTCCAAAAGAGCCAAGTACGTCTCAGTCTGCTTCCTAGTCGTCCTCATTTAATGACAATATTTCAGTTTGTAACCTGTGGTGTTATTGCAGGGAGGACGACGGACAGTCTCCCAGCTCAGCATCCTCAGTGAGGTCAGAGAAGACGGCCTCTGAGAAGGTTCCTGTTACATGTAAGTGTCATTTATCTGCAGTGGCTGTACGGTGAAGTACACTTAGAAGTAGGGTTGGGAACCGAAACTCGGTTCCAGATGAGAACCGATAAGAAAATGCCGGGTACCGGGTACCCATACAAAATACACAATTTCGGTTCTGCTTAACGGTTCCTAAACGCGGTAGACCCTGTATTCCAGCGGGTCCGTCTGCACCGCGGTGCTGCGGTGACCCGGTGGAATACAGGGCGGACCTGGAGAATCACAGAACGGCCGGTCGTCAGCGGGCCGTTGACGGCCGGCTCGGTACGCTGACGGCCGGCACCGCCCTTCATTTTTTAAAACGGCATCATATAAATTGCGCTGACAGGCGACAGAGGTCCACAGTTGCCCCGCAGCGATGCTCCCCCGCCCTCCCGTAGACATTTCACGAGCTCAGTCACTTCATAACACCAAAGATAGGTCGCGGTAAACACTCTGAAGTGAGGCTCCACTACACTAAAAAAGAAAAAGAAAAGGCAAAGTGTAATGCCTGTTAATAGCTTGCCACAGGCATAGCTCAGTTAAAATAATGCACAGCTATTGTGCAATACATTTGTATTGCATGTATATTTTTTAGTAACAATTTCAGTTAAAGCTTTTAAGAATAAATATATTTTTGTTATCTAAACGTTTGACCTCTTTATTTTACAATTTTGGAATCGAAACGGGGAATCGATAAGAACCGGAATCGATAAGCAGAACCGGAATCGAAATCGGAATCGATAAATTTCAAACGATACCCATCCCTACTTAGAAGTGCAGCTCTGTGGCCAACAGCACGATACTGAAATGGGCAGTTGGATGCAAACTATGTTTTTTCTGCTTAGAGTTCAATATGGCAACAATAGGTAGGTATGCACTGCCCTGATAACAAATAAATAATCAGATACATCAACTCGGGGTTTACAGGCAGGGTTCCTACGGTCATTAAAAACCTGGAAAAGTCATGGAAATTCAAAATGCAAATTCCAGGCCCTGGAAAAGTCATGGAAATGTAACCAAAGTTGCATCAAATATAATTTATATTGATCTAATCGCCTAAATAGTAATACTATAACGATAATAAATACTGTATAGTAATGAAACGTAAAATGGCTTTTAACTGACGAGGTATTTTGCTGGTGAGAGATTTGAGTTGCTTTAGCGCGGAGAAGCTAGTAAGCCTTTGATTTGTTTTAGATAGGCACGGCATGTTTCATATGCAGACCTTATTTTCCTGTTCCATGTTAAAATAAACCATTTTCAGTGGCACCGCTGAGAGAGTAATTTTTTTTGGTCATGGAAAATGAGGTAACGGTCATGGAGAAGACATTTGAAATGATTGGTGAAAAAGTGTATGAACCCTGTACAGGTTGTCTCCTTTTAACACATTGAGACCTTGTACAGTTTTACAAAGGTTTGATGTAAAGCCTGAGATTCATGGTCAGCCCCTCGACCTCCAGGACACCAGTGTGCCTCTGGAACTACAGTTATGTAAGATGACATGAGGACAGGGGTTGGCTGTCTGGATTAATCTAGCTGACACTAGGGTGACTAGTGAGAAGAAGCGAGAGACTGAGAAATTAACTACTTCACACCTGGGCGAAAAACCAACCCCTAACAGTTTCAGCACAAGAGCAGATAGCGATGCAGAATATCAGATCAGTGCATCCCTATATGTTAGTTGGTTGAATCAGTCGGCTTATAATTGTGCATAGCAGGGTGTCCGCGGGGTCTTCAAAAGTATTACAAGTTGATAAATCAATTTAGCGAAAATGAAGGCTATTAAAGGGCATTTTCTAAGGTATTACATTTTGTAGCTTGTTTTCAATAAGTATATCAATGGTCCAAAGAGTGGCGTAGGTGTGTAGTGAGATTCTGTGTAGTTTATTGATGGCATCCCGTTGGGTTAGACGTCATCTGAACAGGACATCGCGCGCTCACTGCTTGATAGCGCGCGAAGCTCCGTTTACGCCGGTTGTTAAACAACATCGTTATGGGGAAATGCAAGTCTGCGTCCAAATGGTTGGAAGATAAGGAGGAAGGACAATCAATACTGTATATAGTCAATGTGAGGTAAAGTGTGTCGCCAAGGTAACCGGTTAGAACTCCAAGTGGCGATGAGGTCTTAAAATGTATGGAAAGGGTCTTAAAAAAGGTCTTGAAAGGTTTTACATTCGACTTGAGGATTCCTGCATAGACCCTGAAGGAAAAGAAGCAACCACAACTGTAACAAACAAAAAAAAGGATTATACAATTAAAAAAAAATACACATAAATGTAAAAAAACAATAACATTTTATTGTCCATTTTATTATGATGTTGCAGCTAAATGTACTCCAGCTCTCAAGCTGCCCGTCACCCCCTCAGCAGAGTCTACAGGGAGTGGTGGGAAGAGGAAGCGTAAGATCCAGCTGGTGTCGAGCCACCGGGACGATCAGATCTCTCTGGTAAGTGCGTCATTCTGAATATCGCCGTGTGTTACAGGGACATCGGTTTCTCTCTAAACTCTGTGTTTTATTTATTTGTTTAGCCTCCGCCTCCAGAGCTGGGCTATACCATCACTGTGAAGGACCTGGATGAGGAGAAGAAGGCTGCGCTCAGCAAAATCCAGAAGGTCCTGGAGACCCCCGGTGAGTGGAAGCAGCCACACTTTCAAACTCTTTATTTGCAAAATGTTTTTGTGTGTGTGTGTGTGCTCATGTAATCGCAAAAAAATACTGTTTTGATTATCAATTCATTATTTAAGTACCGGTAATACTTTTGATGGAGAAACTGGAGAAAACGCAGCTTCAGCCTCTTTAGTCAGTGGCTCAGTCGGTAGGGGCTAGGACTGTGAGCCGTAGGGTCACCGGTTCAAGTCCCGGACCAGACCTAAGTATGGAGTGTGGACTGCTACTCGGAGAGGTCCCAGTTCACCTCCTGCCCTGCCGTGGTGCCCTTGAGCAAGGCACCGGACATCCGCTTATGCTGCATTTGTATCTTCCATTCACACATACAGACTCTTACTATTGAATAATGCCAGGCTGCCATTCATTGTTAATAATATCCTTCTGCCGCCGACTCCAGACTCAAAAATGTCTAGTATTGCACCAGTTTTCAGACTCTCTCTTCGGGGACAGTATCTGCCTTTCTCTTTGAATCCTGTTGACCTAAATACCTTTGGGTTTTTTGCTGAATAAACCAAGACTTCCAATCCCTCACCGTGGAAAAACAGAATAAAAATGTCCATGGACTTATAAATAATCATTAGTTGCCCTCATTAGAGCCCTACTCCAAATAGTAAAGCAGCTTTTATTTCTGCTTGTTTTGGAGACCATGGTGTGTCAGGACAGTCAGACTTGACCAGACGTTTGAGCCCCCCCCCCACCTGACCTCTGATCTTTTGACTTCTCCTTCTTCAGCTCCAAAGCAAGAGAAGTCTGTCGCCCCCGCAGTCTCCACTTCCCTCCATCCTGCCTCCTCCTCCAGCAGCATCACCACCCTGAGCAGCCTCCTGGCTTCTCCTCTGCCCACAGCCTCCTCCCCCGTCATCAACCTGGACCCCAGCCCCAGTGTGAGCTCCGCCCCGGCAGCATCCAACCCGCTGCTGGAGGCTCTGAAGATGAAGATCAGCATTCCTGCGAGCTCCACCTCTCCCGCCAACACATCTACAGGTACCTTCTTTTTTTTTTAACAGGATGAGTGAGGGTACAATTACATCACATTCAAGATTTCATGACACCAAGAAAGTCATTGGCAACAGCATTTGACTTAAATTAGGTACAGTAACAATTGAATACTTCATCACTCAACACAACTACAGGTACCGTCACTGAAGTCATTTCCACTTTGCCATATATCCCTAGACGTAAGTACGATACGATAATACTTTAATGGTCAGATCAAGCCTGAAATAACGGCACGATCACTGAGAGAAAACCTGCTCAAAGAGCCTTCAGCGTGCATCTGATCTGGATCAGCTCTGTGTTTACTGTGAGGGTTGACTGGAGCACAAAGGATGCTTCAGTCTGACTTTATTGAATCGCGGGACCCCTGTATCCTGGTAGTTTATATTCACTGTTCAGAACATGCTTTGAGGCCCAGATGATGTTGTTGGACAGCTTCAATAGGTTATTATGGTATGCTGAGTCATAAAGTCTCTGACAGGGTGGACCAACAATCGTGGAGCAGTTTTCTTCACAGGCGATCATCCACATCTTGTTTGATTCTGACATGTTCTTGTTGTTTTGTCCGTAGTGTCTGCATCCTCCACGCCGGTGCAGCCCAGTGGTTTCACCCTGAATGTTTCCACTGCAGGAGTCGCCCCTCCTGCCCCCACCTCTCAATCCTCCTCTACAGGTGTGGAGCAGCCCTCAGCCTTCACCCAGGTGCTGAGTCAGGTCTCCAAGCCCTCCGTCAGTGTTGCTGCTGTAGCAGGACCAACCCTGTTTGGACTGAGCAGTCTGATCAGCATCGCTGCTGCCTCTTCCGCCTCCAACCTGGTCTCCGCTGCTGCTCCTTCCCCCGCCAGCAGCTTAGCTTCGCTCAGTAACACCAACCCTCTGCTGGCTTCAGGGTTCAAACCCATTTTTTCCGTCACCACCACCCCCACCCCCGCAGCTGCATCAACCCCGGAGAGCAAACCTCCTGTCCAAAGTTTCAAGCCCATCTTTGGAGCTGCTACTTCAAGTGCTGGATTCGGACTGCCTCCACCCTACACCACCTCTAACTCAGCCGCCACCGCTTCTCCCAGTATCACATCATCAATGTTTGGTGGATCTACTAGCAGCACCACAGTTACCCCGTCTGTTTTCCCTGGTTTAACCATCACCAACACCCCCTCCTCCACCGGCTCCATCGCCGCCACGCAGCCCGCAGCCCCAGCAGCTGCGAAATCCCTCTTTGGAAACTGGTCAGCACCAACAACAACCTCCACCAGCTCAGCCTCAGCGCAGGCGCCTAACACCGGGAGCTCATTTCAGTTTGGAGCCGTGACCACTACTGCTGCTGCTGCTCCTGTCCCGACCGCTGCTGCCACCACCACCTCCAGCGGGGGCAACTTCGCCTTTGGTGCCACACAGGCAGACCCTCAGGCAGCCAACCAGAAGGCATTCTCCTTCGGTCAGGCAGCTCCCAGCCAGAACACAACCACATCTTCATTTGGAGGCTTTTCAATGGCCAGCACGGCCTCCACCACTGCTGCCACCACCACCCAGTCCACCTTCAGCTTTGGGAAGCCGTCTTTTCAAGCACCGGCAGCACAGGCCACATTTGGCTCCTCTGCGGCACCGGCAGCACAGAACACATTTGGTTCTTCAGCGGCACCCGCAGCACAGAACACATTTGGTTCTTCAGTGGCACCTGCAGCACAGAACACATTTGGTTCTTCAGTGGCACCTGCAGCACAGACCCCCTTCGGCTCTTCAACGGCAGCACAGGCCACATTTGGTTCTTCAGCGGCACCTGCAGCACAGACCACCTTTGGCTCCTCAGCGGTGGCGCCAAACTCTTTCAACTTCGGTGGAGGAGCATCATCCACCCCAGCCCCTAACACCGCCCCACCCTCTTTCCCCTTTGGGTCGACTGCCGCCACGACAGCTGCCAGTTTTGGGACGCCTGCTAAACCAGCGTTTGGAAGCAGCTCCACTGGGTTTGCTTTCGGCGGCACCGCTGCTCCCTCGGCTGCCCCCTCGGCTGCTCCGAGCTTCGGTTCAGCCGCACAGACTCAGAGCTCCTCCTCCAACTTCTCTTTTGGAAATGCGGCTCCTCAGCAGGCGGCCCCCGGTCCGGCTCAGCCTGCATCTGGTGGATTTAACTTCGGAGCTGCGATGCCATGCCCCCAGTTTGGAACACCAGCCCCCAGTAACCCTGCACCACAGATGGGAGGCTTCAATTTCGGGGCTGCTGCTGCTGACAAACCAGCTTTTGGTAAGAAATAAAACACATTTTATAAAACCTTGAACTGCTCTATGATACACTAAATGTATGCAATTGTTTATAGTAAGATAAAGTACAAGCTTTGTGAGAGAATGCAGCTTTAATATTTGAGATCGAAACTACAATATTTTGCCAACATGTCAGTCTTTTGAATGAGAATAATACAATATCTCATTTAAAACGTTCCTGCGCAATAGAGAGAAAGAAATGGGAATGTTAGAAACCATTATTATGTCCAATGCTGAATGAGAAAACTGCTATTTTGATGTTGCTCAAAGAACTGTTTAATAAAGTTGTGCTTCTCTCTCTGCAGGAACGTCTAACCCATCCTTCGGTCAGAGTGCTGCCGCCGCTGCCGGTCCGATCCCCTTTGGAAGTCCTGCAACTCCAGTCCAAGGCTTCAACTCTGTTCCTTTCGGTATGTCATTTTTGTTTCTGGTGGTAAGGCACTTCCTGCAGAGATCCGCAATTCTGCTTCCCTTCACATCTCCAAGTCATCATTAAAACTCACCTGTTCACCATGGCCTTTGACCCCTAACCCATCACAGTCCCCCTGCTTCCACTCCTACTGCTATTTAGGTACCACTTTACAATAAGACTACCCTTATAAAGGGTTTACGAATAGTTTGTAATTCATTTATTAGTTAGGTTGTGAACACTTTATAAATCATGAATAAGCTTTTATAAGGCATGAGATATTAACAGGGCAACTGTAACCGGTTGCTTGCCAAATAGTGAGCCCACATTTATCTGTACTGATAAGCCTTATTAGAAATGGCACCAACGGCCCGTCCACACAGCGGCGTGCGTTGAAGCTTCCAACGCTTCTGCCCATTCACTTTGAATGGAATGACGTCACTTTCAGCCGAACTGCATTTTGGGAAGCGACGTGGAGCGTTGCTGGCGTTACTCGCGTTACAATGTTCAACTTTTGGCGCCTCGGCAGAAGCGTCAGCCAATGAAATCCCGTTTATGCAAATCTGCCAGTACAAGCGCTAGCCAATCAAACCGCGTGTATGCTAGGAGAGACTACGCAGGTCATTTCCTCATATTCCAAAAAATGGAGGGAAAATTCATTATAGCGGTAGTGAATCACCCGGTGCTGTATGATCAGTCTCTGTTCATCTACCGGGATACAAACCGGAGGAGCGAGGCATGGAGGGAGGAGGCAGAGACAGTGGGTGGAACTGGTAGGTTTTCGCCTGTTTGGGGATTTTATATCCAGTTTACTTCGCTTTAACATTGCTATTGCTTTGTATGTCGGGGGCGGGAGATTCATGTGATTGGTTGTTGGTCGCGTTGCTCGCAAAAAATCCCCAAGCTTCAGACACGCCCACCGCCAAGCGTCAACGCACGCTGCTGTGTGGACGCTCCGTCACTCATTAATTTGGTGATTTGTTTCCACTTTACAACAAGGCTCCCTTTTGGCAGTTATAAATGTTAGTAACTCGTAAATAAATGGTCATAAAGAGATGCCAAGAAACATCAAGATGGAAGGGGGGGAATCAACTCAGTGAGCAACAGATACCAAGGATGCTGGCTGATGAAGAAGACGAAGTAAGCTCGGTGGTCAATATAAGGCTTAGCAGTACAGATAGATGTGGGCTCACTATTTGGCAAGATGACTAAGTCTTATATTGGCTACCTAGCTTACTTTGTCTTCTTCATCAGCCAGCATCCTTGGTATCTGTTGCTCACTGAGTTGATTCTCGCTGAGTCGCCAATATAAGGCTTAGTCATCTTGCCAAATAGTGAGCCTGTTTGATGCTATGTTAGAACTGTTTTTGAAATGGTTCTTAATGATTAATAGTGTTTACAACATAATTCATAACCTAATTATAAACCCTTTATGAATCCTTTATAAGGGTAGTCTTATTGTAAAGTGGTACCAACAAAAATCATAATCACGATTATTTTTGGTCAATAATCGATATCACGATTATTAGATTATTCATTGACTTTGAAAACTTTTGATTGATATACTTTGTTAATCCCCGTGGGGGAATGGTTTCTCTGCATTTGACCCATCCTGTGTTAGGAGCAGTGGGCTGCCATTTTGAACAGCGCCCGGGGAGCAGTGTAGGGAACGGTGCCTTGCTCAGGGACACCTCGGTAGCACTCTTGCCGGGACTTGAACTGGTGACCTTCCAGTTACCAAGCAAACAACATCCATTTATTGAATTTTAAAACCAATGCAAATAATAATTTGAACAGTATATTTGTAACTGTTGATTACCCTGAACGTATAATTCAACTGAAAAATAAATGATATATTTAAATAAATAATATCAAAATAATAAATACCAATAAACAAGATCAACAAATATTTTGGAGCGCACTTCCACAAGCTACTAAACATATATAAATATGATGAATAAATTAGTTCAAATAATTGCACTGCCACAACCTAGCAAAGCAAAATAATAGTTTTTTTCGATTATGTTGTTTTCGTAATTGTGGCAGGCCAAAATCGTAATTGCGATTCAAATACGATGCACAGCCCTAGTAGAAGGACAACCCTACATTTGATCCTTAGAAATGACACATGCTTCTTGTCGTTATCCTCAGGGTCCCCCAGTCCCCAGCAGGCTCCCTCCTTCTCCATCGGAGCCGGATCAAAGCCAATTGGAGCTCGTCAGAGGCTTCAGGCGCGGAGGCAGCACAACAGGAAGAAGTAACGTGCTCCGTGTGTCCAGCACCGCCTAAAGAGGACTTCAGCTGCTGCTGCTATCGTTGATCTGGCTTACGTTGCTCTGATCAAACCCCTCAAACCTGGCTGCCACCACGTCCTCTGCTCCCCCTCCTCAGGTGGTTGTGCTTGCCCGAAACATTGTGTTTGTAGAGGAGTTGGAATTAGAAAGAACACACAGCCTGCTCGCTGCCTGGATGACTTCATGTGAGGAGACAGGATCCATAACAACGTACTATACTTGAAGAGAGGGAGAAGACACGTTAGATTTTGAACAAAAGCATATCCAAAGTTCTTTTTTTTTCCTTTTACAGTGTGTGGACACTCCCATTGGTTGGTCTTAAGGAGAAGTTGAGACGCCTCGACTCAAACATTTATTTTTTATACGTGAAGAGCTCACTGGTTTGTATGTTACAGAGTATTTGAGTTCGTTATCTGAATGAATGAGTGTGATTGGGATGAAAGGCACAGTTGATTCAGATAAGGTACAAAAACGCTGCAGTGTAAATGTAAAGTTATGAGAAGTTTGCATTTTTTAATGATTTTTTTAATTGGCTCTCTGACCCTGTAAATGAATGATGTGTTTCTGCACTTAAAGGGCGACTTAGTTAATGTCTTAAAGTAGTTACTGCAGACTTTTGTGTTCTTGTCTCATACTTTTTGTCATTTCAAGCATTCCTAGAGCCTTTTTTTGACAGTGATTGCCAACACTGATGTAATTAGCAGGACTAAGATAACTACTCTTATCTTATGCTAACTCATCAACTTCATGCCTGTGAAAAGAATCTGTGAACTCTGTCTCTCTTTATGCTGAGATGTTTGTTTGTGCCAGACTACCTCTCTTTGCTCCAGGCGCTGAATCTGTGTCACTGACAGGATTGAGAAGATCAATAATATTTTAACACCTTTTTAAATTAATACAGTGAGTGTTTAAATTACATGCTGCAAAACAAACATTAGCTCCTCTGGTATTTCATTGTTTTAGTAGATGCATAATATCAGCTTTACTTGGATACAATTTGTCATATTGAAAAGTATTAGTTATCTGCTCAGTAATTGCATAAACTCTCATGATGATGTCGAAGATTTTTGTCAAACACACGGGACGATAAACACATTTCTGTCTGCGGTCGAGGTTTTTTTTTTATTAAAATGATTTCTGTTTTGTGTGATGCATTTTGTGGTTAATTTTGAATGAATAAAAACTGAATTTTGGACTTGAATGTTACAAAAAGAACACATTTCAACCCTTTGGGGTCCCATTCTTCTTTTCTCTTCATGTGATTGTTGACTTTTATATATCAGGGTGTCCGCGGGGTCTTCAAAAGTATTACAAGTTGATCAATCAATTTAGCGAAAATGAAGGCTATTAAAAAGTATTAAACGGCTTTTTCCAAGGTATTACATTTTGTAGCTTGTTTTCAATAAGTATATAAATGGTCCAAAGAGGTTGTGTTCTACAGTCTGCCTGAATGTAATCATGGCGTAGGTGTGTAGTGAGATTCTGTGTAGTTTATTGATGGCATCCCGTTGGATTGGACGTCATCTGAACAGGACATCGCGCGCTCACTGCTTGATAGCGCGCGAAGCTCCGTTTACGCCGGTTGCTAAGCAACATCGTTATGGGGAAATGCAAGTCTGCGTCCAAATGGTTGGAAGATAAGGAGGAAGGACAATCAATACTGTATATAGTAAATGTGAGGTAAAGTGTGTCGCCAAGGTAACCGGTTAAAACTCCAAGTGGCGATCGAGGTCTTAAAATGTATGGAAAGGGTCTTAAAAGGTCTTACATTTGACTTCATGATTCCTGCATATACCCTGTATATTCACTTCACTTTATCTGAGTCCCTAATCCATACTACTTTCTAATAGGAGCCATTTTTTTATGTAAGAATACAAGAGGTCTACATCCTTTTACGCATTGCCTTATGCCAACCCTCCTGTCCAGTAGTTGGCGGTATTGGCGCTTTTCGTTGTTTGCCGACATTTAAATCAACGAAGAAGAAGACAAAAAACGTAATTTGACGCATGCGTAGTAGCCTCAGGTAGCGAGGTAGTAGCCAAGTAGACGTTAGCAGTGTATTAAAGTACGTGGCACCAAACTTTTGACATGATGGAAGTAGCAGCATTAGTCGCTTTGACCTTATTATTGGGTGCACTGGTTATACTCGTCGCAATAGCGGTAGGTAAAAGGAAAGAAGAAATAAGGGAGGAAATAGAGCAAGCGGCGGAGTTGACCGGTAAGAGACACACTAAGCTAACGTAACTCTAGCCGAGTAATGAGTCATTAACTGTCACTATCACTGGGGTCTTTGACACACACATGTCCATTCATTCATTTATGTATGTGTGAGTGTAAGAACTGCACCTCCACGGTAACGTAGACACCTTACGAAGCGAGTAATAGAAACTACAGCAACTTTGAGTGACTGTCACCTGTCTTCATTGACTATAAATTATGCAAGCATGAGATCAAAATTCAACCATGATGCTCTTTGACCTCTCAGTGCTTCAGAGCTTCGTTTTAGGTCGTAGGAAGGCCTCTTTTAAGGGTTTGTTTTGTACTTGCAGATGATTGAATGTGCCCAAAGACACATCTAAGAATAAGTGCAATAAGGAAAGGAGAAATCAGCAGTCTTTAGTTAAAGATGCAGGAAGCCTAGCATCAAAATGTGTGCAGGTTTAAATAGGAAGAGGCCATTTTGCACAATAATGCCTTAAACAGGCTTCAATTCACGGGCAGCGTGTTGCTTTAGCATCGGTCTGGATCTGGACAGTTTAACCTACTGAGAAGACTATAAGGCTTTATGAGAAATGGACAAACTAAGTATTTAAAGCCCAGTTGCACGTTGTGATTAAGGATCCTTTAGGCTTTTCTGGACTGGAAAAACAAAATCATTTTCGTCAGTATATTTTCTACTATTTCTATTGTTTTATTTCTATTTTGAGATGTTCAACTCTTAATTTCTCTTGTGTGCAATGCCTTGTTTTAAATGCTGCTGCAATGCAAACATTTCTTAAATTGGGATCACTTAAGTACATCTTATCTTATCTTTCATGCAAAACTGTGGAGACAACACTAAAATAGAAGTTTGAATCATTTGTCTTTCCTTCAATTGGGTCAAAAACGTTTTGGGTTTCTGAATTATACTATTGTTATATGTTTTAAATTGACATAATTGAAGGAAGGAAGAAAAACCTCTTTACAACAGATGCTTCCATAGCTTAGTTTTGTTGTCACGAGATGTTAGGAACTGCACAATCCATGTCGCCCCACGATTTTGGTTCGTAGTCTCATACATTGAAATATTTTTTTCTGTTTTGTTTCTCAGCTGAAGGCAGTGCTGCAAAGGTTCCTGCGTCCAAGAAACCAAAGCAGGAGAAGCTGCGCGTCCGAAAGGATAAAGCCTCGCAGCACACGTTCAGCCACCAGCTGCTGGCCGCCTCACTGAAGGTAAACCTGAGCACACGTGACATTACAACGGCCTCTGAGTAAAGAGAGGGTCCTCGTTCTACATGTTCGTAGTTATCAACTGTTTAGAAGTCAAAAAGCCCCTATTTCTATTTAGTTTGCCCTCATTGATGGTGGCATGGCATTTATCATTATTGATCAGAATAATTGTTAGTTGCAGGGCTAAACAAAAACAACATAAAAGCATAACGGCCTTCATGGAAATACTATGGATATGTTGAATTCAGAAGTGTTAGTTTTAACTAGATGGAACTGAAAAACGGTGTGCATGTGTAGATATTTGTCATTTCAAACAACCCCTATGTACTTTTTCGTTTTATTTTACCGATTTTGTTCGGTATTTAATGTCTTTTTCGTGTCTCTGAAAAATATATGATTTGCAAAACTGTACTTTTATTATAACGTGACCCCAAATAAATAAAGAGTAACTGGCAACTGTATTTGTGATGTGTTTTTTTGTATTTGTCTCACTTCAGGCTTTTTCTCCCGAAGCCACTTCTTAAAGCATTTGTTCTTTTGTGTCCGTGTTCTTCAGAGCCACAGTGCGAACGTTACGTGTCTGGACTTCAGCAGTAACGGGAAGTATCTGGCGTCCTGCGCTGACGACCGCACCGTCCGGATCTGGAGCACCAAAGACTTCCTGGAGCGGGAACACAAGTGTCTGCGCGCCAACGTGGATCTGGATCACGCCACGCTGGTCCGCTTCAGCCCCGACTCCAGGTCTCCACCTCTCTCTCCTATTGTACTAGTGCAGACCCTCATATATAGATATATATATAGATATATATATACCCCTAAACAACTCTAAATAATAAAAAAAACTGTAAGTAACATTTATATACGCGTGTCACTAAGTGCTTAACAAAGCATTAAAACATACAAATGAAGAAGTGCTAAAACCACAATAGTCCCGTCCATCTACTTCCGACCCATCGGACGTTATTTCGGAAAAAGAATGTATTGAAGTCAATGGCGAGAGAGAAATTATTTTTCGATCCCGTTTTAATTGTGCCATGAATTACACATATGATGTTTGTCAATATAAAAGATACATTTGCAAATCAAGAAAAAAAAAGTTTGTCGTAAAACTGTGAAGTAACACTTAGTTTTGTGTGAAACCGCTCAATGAACTACATCTCTGGTCTCGCACACGACACGTCAGCAACACCAGAATGTGGTGAAAAGTATTAAAGGAGGTGGAAATCATTACACTTCTGGGCATGTTGAGAGCCGCTATTACACAAAAGGGGAGTTAGTCGGTTCCGTAAGAGCCAGCATGCTGGAACGGCTGTACAAGGTTACTTACTCTTGTATTTGTAGTCTTTCTAGTTGTGTATTTTTCATAGTCTTATATTTCAACAGTTTTACGACAAACTGTGACTTTTTTGACATGGAAATAAAAAAAATTAATTGACAAAAATCATGTGTAATTCATGGCACAATTCAAACGGGATAAAACAATTATTTCTCTCTCGACATTGACTTCAATACATAATTTTTCCGAAATAAGGTCCCATGGTGGTCCACCGGAAAGGGAGGGCTCTCTATACATTGTGAAAAGGAATGTCTTCAAGCCTTAGCTCAGCCAAAACAAAAACCCGTTAACATTTAGATTTTTTCGTCAGTGTGTAAGGTTTCAAAAATAGTACTGGTTCCTCTTGAGGTGATTTTTGGACGCAGGCTCATACACACCTTCTCCTACAGGGCATTTATCACCTGGCTGGCTAATGGAGACACCATTCGAATATTCAAAATGACCAAAAAGGAGGACGGCACTATGAACTTCAAAGCTGCTCCGGAGGACTTCCCACTGAAACACAAGGCTCCCATCCTAAACATCGGCATTGCAGAGACAGGTACATCTAAAACGTCTTAAGTCGTGTTTGGATTTGTAGATACTGTTTGTATTATTATTGTATGTTTAGACGAAGTATAACGTTTAATTGAGTTTTTTTTAAATTCGCACTATGACCTGAAAACAAGCGAGCGAAACAACCAAAAAGAGACACAGAGAACTTCAGAGACACAAATCTATTGTAAAATGACGACAAACTGAAGCAAAATGACTAAAAAGTGACGCAACCCTCATAGTAGTGTTGATAATTGGTACCCAGACTGGTTTACTGTGATTATGAATGAATGCAAGTTAACGTCTAAAAACAAAAATCCCAAAGTGACCACAGCACTTGAATCCTCTAGTTTGTCATCAGATAAAAATACTAAGTGTTGGGGAATATTTCCCAAGGCCCATAACTTTGACCCAGTTTATCAGTTCTGTCCTGACTGAGCACACGCACCTCGTAACCTTGGCTGCTGTGCTCTCAGTGTTCTGTCTCCCTGTTCCTGCCTGTTGACGTCAGCTGATAGAGGTGTTATGATTCTATGTTCCTGCCTGTTGGCCTCAGCTGATAGAGGTGTTATGATTCTATGTTCCTGCCTGTTGACGTCAGCTGATAGAGGTGTTATGATTCTATGTTCCTGCCTGTTGGCGTCAGCTGATAGAGGTGTTATGATTCTATGTTCCTGCCTGTTGACGTCAGCTGATAGAGGTGTTATGATTCTATGTTCCTGCCTGTTGACGTCAGCTGATAGAGGTGTTATGATTCTATGTTCCTGCCTGTTGACGTCAGCTGATAGAGGTGTTATGATTCTATGTTCCTGCCTGTTGACGTCAGCTGATAGAGGTGTTATGATTCTATGTTCCTGCCTGTTGACGTCAGCTGATAGAGGTGTTATGGTTCTATGTTCCTGCCTGTTGACGTCAGCTGATAGAGGTGTTATGATTCTATGTTCCTGCCTGTTGGCGTCAGCTGATAGAGGTGTTATGATTCTATGTTCCTGCCTGTTGACGTCAGCTGATAGAGGTGTTATGATTCTATGTTCCTGCCTGTTGACGTCAGCTGATAGAGGTGTTATGATTCTATGTTCCTGCCTGTTGACGTCAGCTGATAGAGGTGTTATGATTCTATGTTCCTGCCTGTTGGCGTCAGCTGATAGAGGTGTTATGATTCTATGTTCCTGCCTGTTGGCGTCAGCTGATAGAGGTGTTATGATTCTATGTTCCTGCCTGTTGACGTCAGCTGATAGAGGTGTTATGATTCTATGTTCCTGCCTGTTGGCGTCAGCTGATAGAGGTGTTATGATTCTATGTTCCTGCCTGTTGACGTCAGCTGATAGAGGTGTTATGATTCTATGTTCCTGCCTGTTGGCGTCAGCTGATAGAGGTGTTATGATTTGATCTTGTTATGCAGCATGTTGATGATGCTCTCGGAACTAGCTAAATACACGGGTCTGAGGTAGAGTTCTTCAGAATTGACGTGGCAACTCTCCCGTGCAGTCAGATCGTGGCTGCTGTGACTTGTGATGTGAATTCTCCGGCCGAAGCTCCAAATAAACCATCAGTGTTTGACATCAAAGCTCCTGCTCTTCCCGTGTCTCTTTCCTGAGTCGGTGACTCCCACTGCATTGCTGCTGCACAGAAGTTTCCCTTACACTAAGCAATGCCAGGATGAACTGATTCAGTGTTTCATCTCTGCAGGAAAGTTCATCATGAGCGCCTACACGGACACCACCATCCACATCTGGGACCTGAAGGGGGAGATCCTGGCCTCCCTGAACACCAACCAGATGACCAACTCTTACGCTGCCGTCTCCCCCTGCGGCCGGTCAGTCTCTCCTCCCTCGCTGGAAACATTTCACTTAGAACATTGAATAGGGATCCCTCAGATACACAGTGCAGGTTTTTATGTTTAATTGTCTTCCAACATAGATTCAAATTTGATTAAACGTGTCTCTTTTTTAACCTCAAATCTGCAGTAAAATATTTTCAAAACGAAAAGGGATCTAAACAAAGTCAAGAATTGTTTTATTTTTGTGTACAGCAATTTAAAATACTTTCAACCAGAAAAGGTACTTACACATACCTACTTCCCAGGGGCGGACTGGGACTAACAATCAGCCCGGGACTCTCGACCGGCCCACTTCGGTACCGCTGGCCCACCTCGGTACCGCAAGTAGTAAATACCGCTAGTACAATGTCAACGGGGGGGGGGTGCTAGTGACTTATCCGACCCGCCTACCTCGGTACCGCAAGTAAATACCGCTAGTTCAATGTCTACGGGGAGGGGGGGGTGCTAGTGGCTTATCCGACCGGCCCACTTCAGTCCGCCCCTGCTACTTCCACAATGAAAGTCATCACCTATTAATATAATGTAATATGTGTGTTTTGTCCGTCTCCCAGGTTCGTAGCCTCATGTGGTTTCACTACTGACGTCAAGGTGTGGGAGGTTTGCTTCGGGAAGGGAGGAGAGTTTAAAGAAGTCGCACGAGCTTTCGACCTGAAGGGCCACTCTGCAGGAGTTCATGCTTTCGCCTTTTCCAATGACTCTCACAAGTAAGGAGGCTTTGCTGATAATTGTTTTCTGAACCCATTTCTTGTTGGATGAAAAGATTGATACCACTCTCGTATGAATGCTAAACATGACAAAGTCGAGATTATGTCATGAGGCCACATATCATGTTAGATTTTATATCATTTTACAATATGTCAAAACTTGTGTCTTTCCCTGGTTTTAAAGGCAGTCAAATCAAGTGTTCTGAAACAACCACATTGTTCTGTACTTAGTCATTTCTACACATTACTGAGATATTTTATAAAAGCACAAATGGAGAAATCGATGTCAAGATATTTAGTCACAAATATTGTATTTTTTTTTTCTTTCTCCATATCGCCCGAGCGTAGCATTACGTTTAGAAACATAGCCTGGCTCCGTCTAAACAACAACAATACATCTCCTAGCAACATTACATATTTTTCATTCATGATTTCACACATTGTTTTTTGTACAGATTTTGTAAAGATGTAAATAAGAGAGCTTCAGAGAATCTCTATCCTCAGCATCTTCTCGGTTTAATTATGCAACATGTTTCTTTCCACCTTTTAGAATGGTGACTGTCTCCAAAGACGGCACGTGGAAGCTGTGGAATACAAATGTTGAGTACAAGAAGCAGCAGGACCCCTACCTCCTGAGGACGGTCCCCTGTTCGTCCTCTGAAGGCACTCTGGCGGCGCTGTCTCCGGACGGCCGGGTGGTCGCCATCAGTGACGGCTGCAACGTGGCCATGTTCAACGCCACCACCGGCCAGCTGGAGGAGGAGCTGCACGGCGTCCACAGCGAGGAGATCAACGACCTCAGGTTCGATGTAACCGGACGATTCTTGGCGTGCAGCGGCGACAAAGCCATCCGAGTGTTTCACAACGCCCCCGGCTACCGGGCGGCCATCAGAGACATGCAGGACATGCTGAAGAAGGCCCAGAACGAGGCCATGAAGCAGAGACTGCAGCAGCAGATCTCGGAGGCTCAGAGAGCGCTGGACACTGTGCTCGCTGCTCCCAACGAGTGAACATGAGGAAACACTGTGATGAAGTCTTAAAGTCTGACTCTTGATGCTCATTTTTTTGTTTTTGCAACTTCAAATCTCCCTCCGCCAATAAATGCTTTGGCCCGGGAATTAAAGAATGTGCATGTAGTTTTAATAAAGAACATCTTTTTATGGAAAAGGGAAATGCTCTGATCTTTTTGTCCAGTTTCAATCTAATGTCTTTAAGTGTGATCCTCTGCTGCAACAATTTAAAGTCTTCCTCCTTTAAAAATATGTTTTGCTTGTTGTTCTTTCACTCAGAGGTTTGTCCGTCAGATTTTGTTTTTGCAGAATGATGTTTGTACATGTTACATCACCAACAGTGTGGGAGCCCTTTACGGTCCAGTGGGAAACTTACACATTTGGAAAGAGATGAGATTACTTTTATTTAGAATTTTTTTTTATTGGGAAAGCCTTTAAATGTACATTTCAGACATGTCTTCAAAAGACTCGGCATAATGAATTTTTAAATAAAATCATATAAATAATAATGAGTAAAAATATGTAATACAATATTAAAATCCATAGATTAGAGATTTATTAAAAATACGTTTGACATTTGTATAACTTATTTCAGTTTCTAAAAGTGTAACAGTCTTAATTGATATTTGTAATCGTTATTGTATGTGTCATCATTCATACTTTATTTTCAACATATTTTACACTTTTGCCATTTTGTAACACTTCTGTTCTTTTTTCCAATAAAGCTTTTCAAAAGTAAAAAAACAAAACGTTTGACCCGGAAGTAGAATCAGCCGAGTTCCACACGTGTTTCCTTCCTCTCAGCAGCAGCATGTACTGATAGACCACAGAGGGAAATGTCTGTAGAGATGGTGGAGCTCTCCGTGAAAACAGCGGAGCCGGTGCGCCCGGCCGGAGTCCTGCAGCAGAACCGGGTCTTCCTCGACTTCTTCTGGGACATCGCCAAGCCCGAGCAGGAGGTCCGGCTGAAGGCCGTGGAAGACCTGATCCAGTACCTGAAGAAAAGCGACCAGGTGAGGGGAGATCTGACACACTCACACACACACAAACACACAACGTGGAGACACTGCGAAGTAACTAGTTAGTGGTTTATGGCATTTAACACTTCTAACGTCAGTAGTGGTGGAAGGAATACATCATGAATGTACTACAATAAAAGTAGTAGTGATGTAACTGTAATGTCAAGCATATTCTGTTATGAGTAAAGACTGCATGTGCTGTATAGGGTGACAAATCCAAGTACTGCATTCAAATCAAACTGCAGTGAAAGCGTCAGGAATATATCAAAAATAATCTTAAAGTACCACAAATAAAAGTATGTATATGTAATTAAAACGTAATCAATCAAAGTATATTTATATAGCCCAATACCACACATTTGACCATTGTCTCAGTGGACTTTATAGTTTGTATAGAATAAAAAATACGACACCGTCACATTGGATAAGGAAACCCTCCACAGTTAATGGGGAAACATTGAGGACATCTCGGTGAAAGCAACAGAGGAGGGTCCCTCTCACAGGACGGGCAGATAAGTGTCGTGTGTAAATTAAAAAGACATTACATTAACAACATGGGAAGTCCAAATGCTTGAGAATGCATGTCTATAAATAATAATAAGATGAATCCAGGTGGATGTCAACAATCCTGTGGGTGCCACAAAAGAAAGTAAAGTGAACATCAGGCAGGACCACGACTAGTGATCGTGTTAATTGTACAATATGTTGGTTGATACTCTAACGAGGTACTGTGTGTGTGTGTGTGTGTGTGTGTGTGTGTGTGTGTGTGTGTGTGTGTGTGTGTGTGTGTGTGTTTCAGGCAGATGAATTGGACTACACATTTAAAAGGCTGGTGGACGGACTGGCTCACACTCGAGAGGCTGCGAGGCCCGGCTTCAGCCTGGCTCTGGGACAGGTGAGACAACCTCAGAAACATTTCTAAAAAACACACAAGTTTGTAAATAGAATTATATTTCAGGCTCTCTTGTACTTGTGAATATCTGAAATGTGACTATGGCGGTATGACTAAAAACTCATATCATGGCCCTCATGCATCTTATGTGGTGAAGGAATCAGAATGCACGAAACAACTGCAAAATGTGAACTATTTTATTGTGCAAACTTTGCGTACCACATAACAACACAAGTTGCATCGTGCACATTCAAATACTTTTCTTGTGAATGAATAAGGGACTACTTTCTCTGCCGCACAGCTCGAGCGCCCTACGCCACATTTTAAACGTTATTACGGTATATGAAAAATGTATATTATACGGAATAAAGCTCAAGGTATTCGGCTTGAGACGATTTAAAGCCCAGCACTACATGTGACACAATATATTTACCTACTCGGAACACCGTTTTAAGATGCGTCACTTGATTAACCACACACGCGCTGGAGGAGACAGTTAAGTCATTTCGTTTGAATGAAGGCAAACTAGTTTTCCAGTTGAGTTTCTGAATAGGGATGTGTGTGGGTCATGGCGTTCATGAATTGTGAAGCTTTGGAAACTGAGCTCCAGTAGCAGCGGATATAATGAACGGGGGTGGCTTTATTATAACATGAGTTCCTGTTCCCTCAGGTCCTGAGTGCCTTTGAAGATGTTTCTCTGCAGACTGTTCTCGACAGAATCAAAGAAAAGCACAATTTGCAGACCGTGAAAAAAGTGAGTGTTTTATATTTTCTTTCTCTGTTGCAGGGGTAGACATTAAGGGTAACATTGTATTGTCACTGGCCCCACCATTGTAACCTCTGGCCCGGAGCTTTCGTTAAAAAAAAATCGACTAATAATGAAGAAAATTAACACATTTGTTGCAATAGTAATTTATGCACTAACTACATTACTACTTGTACTACAACATTTGAATCATCAGTTCTTCCTCATTTTCCTCAATTGTTCATATTTGGTTTATTAAAATAATGATATTGTGGTCATTGTTAAAAAATGTCTGCTATTATTATGAGTATTATTATTAGTATAATGCACTTTCTGCCTTCCTGTCATTATCAGGAGTTAGAAATGTAATGGCTATGTAATAGATTCTTCATTCTCCTAAACTGCTGGGACATTTCCCTCTAGCCAATACCTTTATTTTCTACTCTTCACTTACTTGTCAGCATAGGTCGGCATTGATGTACAGAGCCGACAGAAGACCTTGTTTATATTGGCATCATATTGAGAGGTGCAGTGACCCATCCTAAAACCAGGAAGTAAGCTGCTGGTTCCCTCGACAAAAAGCAATGGGATTTCTCCACAGGGTTTTGGAAAATAGCTGGAAATAAGATCTGTGGAAAACAAACCTGTTTGATAAATGCACGTTTTGTTCAGCCGGATAATCTCCACATGTCTACCCTACTTTTATCATTTTCGAATCATAAATCTAATCGATAGATTATAAAAGGGTTTTAGGATGCGTCACTGCACCACTAGAAGCCAACTCCATCGATCAAGCTGAAACGTTCTCTCCCTCTTCTTCTCATGCTCCCTGTCACTCTCCTTTAACTCCTCCGGTGACTTTCTTTTATTTGAAGATTGTTTTTTGCACGGCGCTTGGCCGGGTACCGCTGGTATTAAAAACATTTTGGCGAATGGTTAGGTGGCGCGAAAGTCTGTAGTGAAGGAGCGCGCTCACGGGAGCCTGCTCTTGCTGCGCTCTGCAGGAAACAGCTGTTTGCTTTTCACCCAACAACGACAACCACCTCATGAAACGCTGTGTTGTAGCGTTGATAAACGAAACAATTTAACAAAATTGCTAGTCAAAATAGCAATAACACAGCACACATTTTTTTTTTTAACCAATATTTTTAGTGGCCCGGGCGGGCAAGTGGAAAGTACGTTATGCTGGGCGGGGGGTCTGAAAAGTGTTTCCGGGCCAGCGGGCCATTTATAATGTCGAGCCCTGCTGTTGGCTCCAAAAGTTTCATAACGTCCTTTTTCTAAATGTTGACTTTTCTTTCCTTTTTCTTTTAGAAACTTTTTAGAAATGCTATGTTTGGGAACTTGTTTGGCGTCCTCGCCATTCATCAGTCCAGCCGCCTCCCTAAAGTAAGTAGTCTCACCACAAGTCGTTTAAGTACTTTTCCGAATAAACAAGCGGCCGTAACTGTGTGTGTGTGTGTGTGTGTGTGTGTGTGTGTGTGTGTGTGTGTGTGTGTGTGTGTGTGTGTGTGTGTGTGTGTGTGTGTGTGTGTGTGTGTGTGTGTGTGTGTGTGTGTGTGTGTGTGTGTGTGTGTGTGTGTGTGTGTGTGTGTGTGTGTGTGTGTGTGTGTGTGTGTGTGTGTGTGTGGTGTGTGTGTGTGTGTGTGTGTGTGTGTGTGTGTGTGTGTGTGTGTGTGTGTGTGTGTGTGTGTGTGTGTGTGTGTGTGTGTGTGTGTGTGTGTGTGTGTGTGTGTGTGTGTGTGTGTGTGTGTGTGTGTGTGTGTGTGCTGTGTGTGCGTGCGCGCAGGAGCCCCAGGTGGTGTTGGGGTGTGTGAAGCTGCTGCAGAGTCTCAGTCAGCGCAAACAGCACCTGAAGGAACTGCCGACTAAAACCATGATGGACATCCTGAACGAGGTAAACACTCACAGCTCTACACTATCATAGGGGGGTCTTATCTAATACAGACACAACACGTTTTATTTTTTATCTTTTACTTGATTTAATAATTTTACTGTGCAAGATCTTCAGGGGAATTAACAGAAAAAGAAGTACAAAATAAAATGATATTTTTATTTGAGTAGAAAGGTCATTATGAACAATACATTTTTAATCTGATTTTAAACTCCTTTTTCTTGTAGTTTTTTTTATTCTATTCCTTTCAATGCATCTTGTGGTTTATTTTCTATTGTTTTTTTTTGCATGTATAAAAAATATTTGCATTAAAGTTTCTTTGAATACTTGAATCAGAATACCTTCATTAGTCCCACAGAGGGGACATGTACACTGTTACAGCAGAAAAGAGACAAAGACAGCTTAATGTTACCTACAAATATATATAAAAGCTTTTATAGAAGTTAAACATAATTTCTCCCTGCTGATTGGCTGCCTCAGATCCCAGAGGATGTGTTTGAGGAGGTGCTGCTGAGCGCGCTGCAGACGGAGCTGGAGGCGGCGTTCAGCACCCCGGAGCAGCTGCAGCTGCTGCTGGTGGCTCTGAGGCGTTTCCCCCAGACCCTCAAACCCAAGAAACTGAAGAAGCTGCTGGGCTGCTCCACCATCATCAACGCTGACAACATCCCCAAGTGAGAGGAGTGGGGGCTTCTTCCCCTCTCGTGTATTTCATTAATTAAGATTTCCCTAAACCAAAGTGTATCTACTTCACCTGCTGTTTATGATCGTGTAACAGGGCAAAACATAAATCAAACATGGAGCCATGGGAGGGGGGATATTCACAGAAACATTTAGTCAAAAATGTAAAATTACCTTTTGTGACTTTATAATGTGAGATAATATCAAGTTGTTTCTCGTTAATGTTAGTTTTTATTCTCATATCTTGACTTAAATGTTGGAAAAAACCCACATCTACAGAATGTATTTTTTTTTTTAAAGAGAATGGTCCTAATACTCGTATCTAGCTATATATATATATACCAGCTGCAGTGAGGTGGATCTAATGCCTCGCGGTGATGCCCTGCAGGTTGCTGGACGTGTTAAAGATGGCGGCGCGCTCGGTGAAGAAGGAGTGCGTCCTCCCCTCCGTGGTGCTGGACCTCCTGAAGCTCTCTCTGAAGGAGGACAGCTTCCAGCTCTTCTGGGACAACGCCATAATCAACGGCATGTTGAAGGAGGCGGCAGGCCCCGCGCAGTGAGTACACAGAGGAGAGCAGGAACTTTGATGGCAAACAATGATGGTTTATTTGGAGCTTCGGCCGGATAATTCACAAGACATGTTCTGAGCCATGCGGTGTCACAGCGGATGCCAAACCAATTCTGAAGACCTCTCCCCCAGACTGGTTCTGAGAGAATAATCAACAAAGTGCATAACAAGATAAAACACTATAATAACACCTCTATCAGGGGACGGCGTGGAGGGAGGGGACGGCGTGGAGGGAGGGCAACAAGGGGCTGAGAGACAATGAGCCTCATTCACCAATATCTTACATATTTGTATTTAATGTGGTGCTGAGGAAGGTCAGATTCATGACGTTGTCTTGAACTGAAGAACTGTTCCTACCTGTGTTCTTAGGATGAACCCTATCCTAAGTTCTTCTGTAGAAGTAGCCTTTTATTCTTACCTCGACCTGCAGCATGTGTTCCCTTTTTAATATCTTTGTGTACATTTGTATAGTATTTTATCTTTATCCTGTTTGACTCTCTGACCTGTTGCTGTCTCTCCTCTCAGCTACCTGAGCTTCCGGCTGCTGGGCAGTGCGCTGCCTCTCCTGTCTGCAGAGCAGCTGCAGGAGGTGTTATCTGGAGAGGTGATGGTGCAGTACGGAGAGCACGTGGTGGCGGCTCAGGTCAGTCGTCTAGCTGCACAATATAGCACTTTTACTTTAACGTCTTCATGCAAGATAAACACGATTGCCTCATTGCACATAGGGATTTGAGTTAGTAGAATACTGAAGTTTATTAGGTAACACTGATTTGTTTTATTTTATTTGTGCCTTTAACTTCAATGTGAATGAATCTTGAAAATATTTTTCTTACATTTTTATGAAAATCAACAAGCAATATGTTGATTTTAAGCAGTATACTGAAAGCAGTAGAAAGGTAGAACAGGGTAAACTTACATATCTGTTAATCAAGTAATATCGTGATCCTATAGATTGATTTTTTTTAAAAAGCATTCCCTTTACCGGATGTCTTTATATGTGAAAAATAGCTTTGTAGATTATAGCTTGAAATGTATCAGGAGTACTTAGGCGCTTTCACACTGCAGTACTTTTCCCAGTATAGTTCCGATAGTTCTTGAAATGTCACGTTCACACCACACATTAGGACATTAGCATTATTAGCATTAGCCCAGTGCACAAATGCAGAGAGACTAACTTATGGCAACACAAAATAAAACATGGGAGCGGTGGAGATGAGGAGGTGTCGGCGTTCTGACGATTTACTCGGAAGGCTCCCCAACTCCGGGGGACTTCCAGCCGGGGACTTCGGGCGGCAGTATACACCGTGAAGTTGTTTGCGGCCTGCCAGTAAACCCAAAGCAGAAGAAGAAGAAGTGACGTCAGCGGCTCATTCGCCTAATCCTCTCTCAAGGAACGCGATCTACGCTTTAGTTCATCAGAACTTAAGAGTTCTGATGAACTAAGTACGGCAAAGTACTTGGTGTGAAAGCGCCTCTTGAAAGAGTACACAACTTGAATTAATTATTAAATATATCAATAATTGAAGTATAAATCCATTAATTGTTGAATAGAGGAACCCAGAGCAGCAAAGTGGTTAATGGGAAACGTCAACTTTTAAACAATAAAATATAAATGGCTAATAAAATCCAAACTTCCATTATTGTTCTCTTGCAGAAGCCGGACCGCTTCAAGCTGGCTCCGGAGATGGATGTGTTCGTGTCGGACTTCCTGCAGGAGTGTCAGGACGCAGACAAACAGCTGATCGTGATGGTGCGCTTCTCCTCGTTGACCAACAAGGGCTACCCGGTGGTGCCGTCGGTGTGGAGGGTGGTGCAGCACCTGCAGCCGGCCGCCGTGGAGCAGTACGTCGCCTGGCTGAAGAAAACCTTCCTGCAGCCGCAGATCGACAAACTGCTGGACTTCAGCACGCGCAAGCAGAAGGACAACCCGGCAGCCAAGGAACAGTGAGTTTCAAGATTCAAGGCTTTTATTGTCATGTGTACATAGCTACAAAAGCTTAGGTCACAGGCTCCTCTAATAGTGCAATCAGAATCAGTTATTAACGGCATATATATATTGCACATAGTTGGTTGGTATTTAACAACAAGAACAACACAATAAAACAGAATAGTTAAAATAGTGCAAGTAATACAAATAGAATAGTGCAAGGAGAGTCTATATAAAAGTAGTTGGAATATGATATATTAGATAAATGACTTCTAAGTTTCAAACGGATGAATGTTATGGATGTTCTTTCAAAGGTTCAGGTGTTGAACAGTCTTATGACCCGTGGGATGAGACTGTCCGTCATTTTAAACGACCTTTCAGCAGCATGCCTACCTGTCTAGATGGAAATTGGTTGAATGTAATTGTTAATTTTTTCGTCCTCAGGAAGGATGACTCCGTCTTCCGCCTGAGGAAGTGGATTATCTCTCGGCTCTGTGCGATCATCGATAACCACCTGGTGAAGAAGTCTGAGGATCTGATCATGGATGTGGCCAGGTGAGCTGACTGAAGGTTTATTCTACATGAAGAGAAGAGACAGCTGTCAGCCGGTGTCTAATTCTTTTTGATCTTCCAGGTTTGTCTTCTTCCACGCGTTCTTCGGCACCAAGAAGGCCTCGGCCGACATCCCGGAGACGAAGGGGAAGATGTCCGTCCCGCTGGACGATAAAATCAGAGCCGTGCTCGTCAACTCTTTCTTTGGGTGAGGATTAGTACACTGTATTTATTTGGATTAAACATTTTTTTTTTATTTCATCATCATCAGCTTTTATTGAAGAGACTCGAGGTCCATTTTTAAAAGACATACAACACTCAAATATAAATAAAAAAAGGCAGTTATACCAATGTTTCCACAGAGGTGACTGGTATCGTACAGCACTGAGACACGGATTTGAAAGCAGCATAATGACAGAGTTATGAGAATCATTCGATCGACAGATGCATTTGTACATCAGATTTCTCAAGAGAGCATGGAACGTGTTGACTCGTGCTTTACAAAACATTTCACTTGCACTGCACCACCTTTTCAAAGCAGTATATGCAAGGGGTGTAACGGTATCCGTATTCGTCACGGTTCGGACGTCACGGTTCGGCACACGCAGTCACACGACGAATACGCCTTTTTTTTTACGAGTGGGGAAAAAAGTGTCATTCAGGGCAGTATCCACTACACTATATATAATCCAGGGGGCGGTATTGCGCCTAAAAGCTGTTTGCCAGCCGCCCTTAAACAACAAATGAAGAACAAGAAGAAACACAACAACAAAACGAACAAAATACAAGAAGAAGAAAAGTTAGTTTGGCGATTTCAGATAACACACAGGAGCTAGAACCCACCTGCTTCTTTTAAATCAGCTGTGTGGGAACATTTCGGGTTCCCTGTGGACTGCAATAACGATGGAGTGTGCGAGTGGTGGATCGGACGAGGACGGTGTGTCGCCGTTGTTCTATAGCGGTGCGGTATGCTAATGGTAACACATGCCAAACATGCTAAATCACATCAGAAGGCATCACCCAGATTTGCCAATCACCAGAGCCCGGCGAAAGACAGCAGCAGTTCAACAGCTGATCCCCTCTGTTTTTATAAACCAAGAGACATGAAAGCCGTGAGACCAAAATAAATAACGGAAGCTTTTGGCATATGTTTTTCAACGACTTTGAGCTCTTGAAACACTTTCTTATTATTTATGATGTAATATTTTCAAGACATTATTTTTAGCTTTACAGCTTGATGAAACCTTTTTGTTTGACATCAGCCATTATAGATAATCTGGCCATCTGAGTGTGGTTTGTTTTTAACTGTTTAATGCAGTTCATTATTCAAAAAAGAGTTCTTTATTTTTAAACTGAAACTTGCACTACTGTTCAAACATAAATAACAACAAACCTGGAATTATGCATTTGGGACTTTTTTTTTGCTTTTTCTTGTTGTACCGAACCGTACCGAACCGTGACCTCCAAACCGAGGTACGAACCGAACCGTGACCTCCAAACCGAGGTACGAACCGAACCGTGACTTCTGTGAACCGTTACACCCCTAGTATATGCAAATCATCCTCATAAGCAACCTGGAGCTTCTGGAGGCTCGCCTTCTTAAACTTGAGCCACAAGGGGGCAGTATAGTATACAGAGGAGTGCAATAAGCTCTCAAGAGGTTCCCCCTAACCTTATCTGAACACCAAGAGAATGTTCTAGCCAACATGTTAGCTTGTAAGACACGCTGCTGTCTATACATGTCACCATCATCAGCCATTTCCTCTGTGAGGATGTGTCCCAGATACTTAGTATTAATAACAGTATTGATATAATTACACGACTGCATATATTGTAATATATTCATGTATGTTATAAAACGTGTGCAGTTTAACACAATCTTCTCTATGTTTGTATAACTATAAAATTGAGCAAGTGTTACAAAATCTCTGGGATAAAAGTGAAGGGTTTGGATTCTGATACACAGTACAGATTGTTTTAACAGAACAACTTCTCTAAGGTGTGTAAAGCAACATTCATTTCATTCAGGAAAAGGTTGACATCCCCCGTAGCAAACCACAAAACAAATACAAAAGCGTGCATCGTAACCTCAGAGTTTTGATCAAAAGTTGTCATGCGTCATGAAAACTCATCTCTTTCGACTCCACTTCGAGAATAAACAAAGCACTTACATACTAATAAAGGACTGGCTTATCTAAAGCCAGTTGAGTAGCACTTGAAATGTTTTTGCTCGATGAAACCTGATGTACTTTTATGATTCTGTTTTCTTCAAGTTTGTATCTTGTTGGTCGAACGCACTTATTGTAAGTCGCTTTGGATAAAAGCGTCAGCTAAATGCAATGTAATGCGTGTTTAGTGTCACTGCCTCCTCTCTGACTTCCTGTCTGCCCCCCCCAGCCTCCTCCTCTCCATGCACCACCTCCCTCTGGCGGAGGACTCTCCTGAAGGTGTAGCAGTGAGTCAGAAGCGTGCGCTCGGCGTCACGGCCGACGGCACCATGTGGATCTACCACCTGGTGCAGTACGCCCAGAGCCTGCTGAGTCAGCCCAAACACGCCCAGAGCAGCCAGCCCTTCAGCCCCGAGCAGAGCCAGGCCTGGGACAGGTGGGCTTTTGTATATTCACG